TTAAGTTAAGTTAAGCAACTTATAAATAGCATGATTTATTGTAGTGAAATTGATTTTTTATACAAAAGTTGAAGATAATAAGAAGATATTGAGTGTGGAATTGTAATTGCTATATTGCTATAATTTATGAATTAAATTTGATTTTTTAAGAAACATTACAAGTAGTTTATAGTTGACTTTAGATGGACAAAAAAGAGAAGTGGATGGGTCGAGGGCTGGGAAATAAATCTGTCGGTAGATATTAAATTCTGGGCATTCCGATAAAATGTGTTTTACTGAGGTACGAGTTTTGAGAAATCGTGCCTGTTCAGTTTCAGATCTTGCTGGAACTTACCATACTCATAGATGGTAGTCCTGTGGGTATTTAGGGAGTGGCAGTGGAGGTTGGTTTTTGTGAAAAGATTAAGGAATTTTTGTAGAAAGTGGGATTTAATGAATCTAATGATGTCAGGGATGTGGAAATTATTTAGGAAAACTAAGGGGTATATAACTGCCTCTTTAGCTGCAGCATCGGCTTTTTCATTGCCTTTAATGTTGCAATGGCCGGGGACCCAAATTAATCTTATACGGGGGAAATGTGATGACAGTAACTGTCTGGCTTGTAGGGGATAGTACGATATATTTGAAGGATTTTTTATTGATTCTAAAGCAGAAAGAGAATCAGTGCATATAGCGACCGGGTTGGCGTAAGAAGTAGCAGTTTGTATAGCTTGAACAATCGCTATTAGTTCGGCTGCAAATATTGAACTGTAGTGTGGGAGTAGAAAGGGTTTGCTTATGTTGTTGAAGTAAATTCCAAAAGAGGTGGAGTCGTATGATTTGGACCATCAGTGTATATAAAGGAGTGGGAAGGTAATAATTCTTTGATATGGAGAAACATTTGTTGGTATTGTGTTGATGAGGTCGATGATTTAAGTGCCTCATGCAATGTGGTGTCAGTTTTAGTTTTTTCTTGCCAAGGGGGGACCTTGACCTTGGAAATTGGGATGGGATTGGTAGGAAGGCTGAGCTCTAAGTAAGTTTGTTTCAAAGTCTCTCTACCGTTATGTATGTATGTAAGTGCGTACACTGTCATGCACTTAAATAGGGACAACATTTCTGTACCACGTACCCAAAGGGTAAAAGAGTATACTAGTTTTGTGCGAATGTATGTAACACACAGAAGGGGGCGTGGCAGATCCCTAAAGTATATATGCATATTATTGATCAGGATGACAAGTCGAGTCGATATAGCCATGTCCGTCTGTCCGTCTGCAAACATTCTCACACAGACACGAATAGACACGTATAGACATGCATACACTCACATAGACGCAATAATTATTTAATTTCTATAATTATTCTAAGCATATGTACAGAGTATTGCAAAGTCGGGACGACTTTAGCCTCTCTACTTGTTTATTGTATAATTAATAGTTATTTATTCACGCTTTGCAGTTCTTTTTTTTCATATTTATGTATAAAGTACACCTAATTCTGTTTTTACGCGGTGTTTTGTACACTATTTTGATATAACACGGTTTGAAAATTACAAATTTCATATATATTTCTTTAGAGATAAGGAACCAATCACTTATTTTTGCATATGATAAATGACTCCTTTTACTCGGTTGTTTCTGGAACCAATCTACCGTGTAAAAATAGAGTTAGGTGTATATAGTACGTATACATGGAACCAATCTACCGTGTAAAAATAGAGTTAGGTGTATATAGTACGTATACATGTATGTACATATGTATATGTACATACGAGTATGTCCTAAAATGTAATTAAAAATTGAATGTAAAGAGAAAGAAACATTATACGAAAACAGAGAAAACAGCAAAAGGAAAATAAAAGAAACAAGAAGCTCAATGATTGACAGTTGACTAAAAGCTTAACGTTAAGTGCAATTGAATTATGGAACATCCTAGGCGGTCAATGTCATCTAAAGGCATGTAAGATACCTATGTCCTTCGCATTGTACTATGTCTGACAATCTGGTTTTTAAGGCATGAAAAATAGAGTGAAAAAAATTAAATCATATCTAGTATATAACAAACAGAAGGAAGCCGGGCAGACACAAATTATGTATGTTTGTATATTCATGATCGATATGATGACAAAAATCGATATTACCATGTCTGTCTCTATGATCGGAAGGATCTTTGAAGCTTGGTATTTATGTAGGTCCATGCATACGTACATACGAGCTGTCTCACAACCTTGGTGAAGAGAGATGCATTTTTCTACCTGCATAAATTTGTACAAGTCTTATATACCATTTGTTTTAATTTGAAGTTCTTACTGGAACATTTTATTGAACCATCACATACACTGGCATGCACTTTAATAGGAACAGATAAATTTAAATTGATCCAGCAATTAAAAAACAAAAATGCATACGAATGTTAAGAAGAAAATCATAATTTTATATTCCTAAGTGTTTAATGAAGTACACACAAAAACAAAAAAAACAAGTGGAAAAGCAAAAATCGGGACCGCCGACTTTGAAATACTTTGTGCATGTGTATCTCTGAGATCTAGTTACATTTTTCACATCTCGCACTCGTAATATACCCTTATACATTTCACATTTTACAGTATAATAATTAAACAAAAAAATATATGTATCTTTAATACATAAATACATATGTAAGTGTATAGTGTTTTATCAGCATACATTTAGATCAGAATCATGGCTATGCGTGCAGTACAGAATTAAGTCATAGCAGGAACACCAACAACAGCTGCGGGCAGAGTTTGGGCAGAGATTACACATATGGCTATAACCATCTTCATAATCGACATATCTTGAAGAAACGTATCATAAGGGCACACTAACGGTATGTAATTAACAAATTTTTTGTTCAAAATTCAAAGAATTGCGATAGTTATGGAAAATTGCTAGGGATTGGGTGGGCTTATCAGAAAAAAACAAACTTGGTCTAGCTAGGGCTTTAGGGGAACCTTGATACCAAGTTCCTTGCGTACCTTGCGTTCTATATCGCCTCGTCCTCCTGATCAAGAATATATACATATATACTTTGTGGGGTATGCCATGCCTCCTTTTGTGTGTTACATACATCTGCACAAAACTAGTATACCCTTTTACCCTTTGGGTACGTGGTACAGAAATGTTGTCCCTATTTAAGTGCATGACAGTGTACGCACTTACATACATACATAACGGTAGAGAGACTTTGAAACAAAGGTATTTCTAAATTGGCCAATTCTACGAAAACTGTGTGATGTAGTCCGATTTTGAGAAACTGATTGCATTTCAGAAACCTATGTACTCGTATTTACAACATTTTAGTGTTGCAGGCTGTGCGAGACAAACAGACAGAGGGATATGGCTCGATCGATTCATTATATTTATTTTTTCGCTATTATTATTTTTGTACGTACAAGTATGTATTAGGAATACCATATTGCCTTAAAACTTAAACTATAAATCTGATGGAAAACGAGTATAGACCACTGTGCTTCCTACATACATATGCGTATGTATGCGTTTTGTTTGTTTTCTTAGAACAGTTTTTTCTTATTTGTACCAAAATTTTCAAGGTCTCTCCCTCGTTATTTTCACTGTCGCGCATTAGCATAAAAATAAACAATTTAAAGCAAGAACAAACTCTATATATTTTTAGTTGATTTTGGGATACATTGTATTTCTTTTAAGAGACACATACAAGTAAATTATGTTCACAGCAAGAAAATAATATGAAATCTATGATTTGTGTGCCTTTTATGAATTTATATGTGTACGCAGTGGCTGTGAATTTAATTTTTAAAACTCCAGAAATTCGGAGATTTTTTTTAGTCAAATTTGGCAGCAACTTTCGGTCAGTGCTATGTGTCCGTATTTATACATGTACTTTTGTACTTTTCATGTGAAAAGAATACAAACAACATGGAATGGCAGAATTGTCAGAGCCTAGCTTTTCATGCAAGGAAATTTACAATTTATTTTCTACATTCGATCATTTCCAAAACATTGGGCGCGTTCAGCAGGTCCTAGCGATTTGCAATATTTGATTATCGATTGTTGATTTGCCTCTGCTGACCGCATGTGATGACTATTTCAATCAAATATTCTGATTTTAGTATTTTTGATCAAACAACTTGCTGGAGTGCCTTTTGCCATTTTATATATTTCCGAAAAGATCTCGAAAAAATGTAGTGTCCAAATTGAAAAATCTAAATCAAGTAATCATAATATTTTCCCGATTTGCGTTTTGTGATTTCGATTGACATTTTTACTTATCCGAATCATAAATCACAGCGGTCAGCAGGTGAAATCAGTAATGATCGATCAGAAATCGCTATGACCGGCTGAACGCGCTCATTGTTTCAATATAAAATTGTACAAATTGAGCATCAATTCCATTCCGAGCTCAGCGTAGCCAATCGTCATATTAAGAGCGGCAATATACTTAATACTGGTCTATATTAACAAGTGGAAAAGCTAAGATCGGGGGTATAATAGAGTGGCACCTCTGTTATGGAAAATAACTAATAGTGGATGACTGGGGGGAAAAACAAAATCAGAAACCTGATCGACTTAGGGCTTAGGGTAACCTGGATATCAAGTTTGGTTGTTCTAGTGTAGTATGCGCTAATGAGGAGTACACACTGTACGCAGTGCACTCTTGAGAACACACACTGTAACAATTTGTTGCAGTGATTACATAAACTCCAGGGCTAAGCATATTTCAGGCGCGACATAATATGATCGCACTAATATTCATTGCGCGAATGTTTATCATAACTCGACGGCGCAATTAATGTCAGCCAAGTGTGTGTGTGTGTCAGTCAAGTGTGCATAGCATGCTCTCTCGCGCTCTCGCTGCCAACTTCGCTGAGTATATAAGCTTGTATATAATGCGGCCGCTCCGCTGCCGGCGTTTCTGGCAGCGCAGCTACGCGGCCCTAGCTAAGCTGACTCTAAGTAAAAATGTAACAGTTCAGTATGAATAAAGAATATAAACTGGAGACGTCTGTGTTTAAAAAAGACTTCATTATATGGCGACCATGTTATGTTATGTTAACCACAAGAATTGTGAATTGAATGTGAAATGAATTTAATGAATTAAATGTGAAAAAAAGCTCCAGCTGAGAGGACTTCATCATATGAATTCAATGAGGAGACAACAATGCGAGCGACTATTGGCAAACAGTAGACCAACACCAACTTCAACAAGAACATCAGCGGTCTGCTCCTGGATTGAAGCACGGCAACAACCAGCAACATCCATCTTCACCAACTTCAACAAACAACAGGAGCTTCGGAAATAATCAACACCGTTATCAATAAAAACGGATGGAATTCAAAAAAAAAACTGAGTGAGTAGAGTGCGGGTGATGGGAAGACGCGGAGGTGTTAATTAGAATTAAAATTAAAAAAAGAATAGTACACATAAAGTGGCTATTGTTTACAAGCAAATCACCTCCCGCGTGCGCAATAGCCCAGAAATTACAAGCCGAGCTTGATTATCTCAAATCAAGTCTCGAAACAAAAACCCCAAATACCGCAGCTCACTCAGCAATCATTAAAATAATAAACGAAAAATCAATTACAATACCTCCACCTCCCCAGCAAATACCAAAGACAGTAAAAAGCTGCCCCAGAGACTGCGAGGGACCCCTCATCGCATTGTATTGAATGCGAATACACAAGCCAACATTGTACTAAAGAAAACGTCACCAGGATCAACAAGTGCGAAAGGCAGAGGACCGCCTTTTGCACCAACGAGGGAGCATCAGCGTTGCACATCCGGCGACGTCCAGCTGATGCTGGAGAAAACATTCATTTTGGGAAAGAAGAGCCAAGGACACCCGAGGATGGAAATATAAATTTAAAGAACTTTTTTTTTAAATACTAAATATATGTATATACATAAGAACTTTGTAAGATAATTTAAAACATTATATACATACATATAACCGAATTGTAAAACAACCTAAAATATCATGTATACAATTATAAGAAAATTTTAAAATTGAGAGGAACCTTTTCTGCCCGATTAGAAGTATAGCCCGTAAAGCTATACGAACCACTAGGTAGGAACTTATGCCCTGTTTCATTTTTCAATAAAACCTGGTCTCCTATTTTCAACTTGAAATCTAAAATATTCTTGTCATAACTTATCTTCTGTTTTTGTTTGTTTACTTCTAGCATTAATCTTGCTCTTTTAAAGCTTGTTCTAGTATTAATTTAGATTCCTTAGCATAATCTTCTATATTATAAAGTGGTTCTATTATATCTATACTATTAAAGTGTTCTGGCAAATTTGAAGTCTTACCAAAGACAAACTCATATGCACAATAGCCATGTGCCATTGAGGGGGTTGTACAAGTATTAACACAATATACGAAGTATTGTAGCCACACATCCCAATCTGATTTGTCAGTTGAGATGTTTTATGTTTTGTGGCTTCGCTCCACGGTTCCTACAGTCTGGTGATGAAGTGCTTTTTGACATAAATCTTCAATTATTGAATTTGTTATTCTGTTCCCAAGTCCGTAAATAACGTCTTCATTGGACCGTACTTTAGAATGAAATCTTCAAATATAGCCTTTGCACTTTTGTTTTTTATTGCCACAAGATATTTTGTTAGATCGCATTAAAGTTATTGCGTATTCCTTTCCTTGTTCGGATTTAGGCAGTGGACCGATCGTATCCACAATTTCCCTGTAGAAAGCGATTATTGGGCTTCTGTCAATATTAATGGAGTCTTGGTATGTTTAGTCGTTTTTGACTTTTGGCATTTTGGACATTTTTTTATATAATTCGCAATTTCTCGTGTCATATTTGCCAATAATATTGCCTTATTATTTTTCCATGATTCATAAATTGGATCGCCATGGAATGTAAACAATATTGCTTATTTTTCTTTATTTAATTGGGTCAATGGCTTGAGTAGCGCTACTCTTAATGATTTCAGTCTTTTATTGCCCATTTTTTTTAAAAAGATTCTATTGAAATGGTTTCAAAGATCTTTTCGTGTGCCACTTTGATTCGGCTGATATTAAGTACACCGGCTTGAATTTCAATCCGTTGGAGAATTCCATTGGTGTACATATCGCTAACGTCAATTCTAGCTGCTACTTTTTTTCCATGTCTTAGTAAACATTTCAAATCTGCCATTCGCAAGGTCACTACTTTTCGTACCTCATCATTTATAATGACTTCGTATACGTTGGGCTGAGAAGCTTTATTTCGAGTTTGCGTAGGCAAATCCACTTTTTCTTTTCCTGCGCAGGAATTTTTCTGTTTACTTTGGTTTCTTGTAGTGACTTTTAATATTTTATTTTTTATCTGTATACTTTTTAAATCTGATATTGTTATTCTCGTCAACGCATCTGATATATGGTTGTCTTTTCCCTTAAGATATTCAACAGTGAAATCATATTCCTCCAAGTCGGGTCTCATACGCGTCAGCTTTGAGTTCTGGTTCGTCATTGAAAACAAGTAAGTTAACGGCCTATGATCAGTTTTGACTGTGAAGTGTCTGCCATAAATATATGGTCGGAAATGGTTTATTGCCCAATGGATAGCTGCCAGTTCTTGTTTAAATCTTGGTTCTTGGTTAAATCTGGGTACTGTAGTAACGTAGGCTTCATCAACTGGACTTTTAAATATTCGAATGCGTTTTGACACTCATCTGTCCACTCAAACTTAACATTCTTTCTACATAATCTTGTTGTGTCGCGAATAATCGACGAAATTTTTTATAAAACGTCTGTAATAATTGCAGAATGCAACGAATCTTCTAGCGCTATCTGCGTCCGTCGGGACTGGGTACCTTTCTATGACATCATATTTCTTGCTGTCTGGCAAAATACCCTTATCAGCGCACTTTTGGCCCAAAAAGGTTACCTCGTGCCTGAGTACTTTTCTGGGTGCAATTCAAGGTGGTGTTTTCCACACAAATCAAAAACGCTTGTAAGATTCTTAATCATATGTTTTTCTGAACACCCGATGACAATCAGGTCATCCATATACAGGAATGCCTGAGAGGGTTCAATACCCGAAAATGTGATTGTCATCACTCTCTGAAAAGAATTTGGTGCTATTTTTAAACCATATGGTAATCACGTGAAGCGATAGGAACCATTGCTCGTGGAAAAAGACGTTATATTTCTGGAATTTTCCTCAAGTCTATCTGATGAAATCCCGACATCAGATCCAGACATGAGAAGTACTTAGCTCTACCCAATTGATCGAGAATATCGTCAATTCTGGGCAATGGGAATTTATTGGACAAGATGATTTCTTCGGCACGATCAACAATGGACTATTGTACTCCGAGACTGACGGTTCTACTATTTTGTCTTTAATTAGTTTCTCAACTTGTTTTTCTATCTACACTTTTTACTGTGTGGAATTCTATAGTTCTTAATGTAAACCGGCTCATTATAAAAATTATTGGTTGATATCGATTCGGTTTCTGTTCCGAATACGTCAATGTATTTGGTGCATAATTCTGTAAGAGTTGTTTCGAATTGGGGTGGACAATTTTTATTGAGCCTATCCAAAACTTAACTGTGATTGGTATTCGTGTTTGTTTTTATTATTATTATTTATATTTATTATTATGATCATCCAATGGAAACTCCATTTTTATACCCTGTACCCGTAGGGTAAAAAGGGTATATTAGGTTTGTGCAAAGTATGTAACATGCAGAAGGAAGCATCTCCGACCCCATAAAGTATATATATTCTGAATCAGCATGACGAGAGAAATCGATCTAGACATGTCCGTCCGTCCGTCTGGATGAACGCGAGGATCTCAGAAACTATAAAAGCTAGAATAACCAAAGTTGGCATCCAGATTCTCCTAGGTCCGAGAAAGGACGAGTTTATTTTATTTTTTTTTTTTATTTCCCCCGCTACAGAATTTCGTCAATAGCGTCCACATTTCAAATGCTACCTAAACTAAACTTTGCACACATAATTTATATATAATTGTCTACTGTTGTTCAAAATTTTATTCAATTCGGTCAATTCTAAAAAAAGTTATTAGCAAAACAAATTCTCGCCAGTACAACCCCCCAAACTGCAGCAACAAGTTCGCTCTTCTTCTTCCTCTTTTTGCTGCTGCTTTGGGCGCATATAACTCAGTGACGGAAGTTTACCCGGGCTACAGGGTATTACACTGTCGGGCTTGCTCGACTGTAGCGTTCTCTCTTGTTAGAATCTGCAATGGAGTTTCCAATGTATACTCCGTTTTGGATCTATTGGTTTGGTATGAATATACCTGCTTGCAGTGTTTATAGCAATTGTGAAATTGTTTTAATGTGTATCCTGTATTGGAATTTTTATTGGGTGATCAAGATTGTTGGGTCTCAGTATGAGCCAATCACTTTCCTGATTTAAGTCTATTTGACACTTATATTTCTTCATGAAGTCTATAGCTATTATTCCATCACAGGGAATTGGAAAATCCAAATCCACTATATGAAAATCATGTGGGGTGGCATAGGGTGTTAAAAGAAGTTCTATCAGTGCCGATTCCTTGGAATTGGTTGTTCTTTCACCTATACCGGATAATTGAGTAATATTTTTAAACCCTGTACCCAAAGGGTACAAGGGTATATTAGTTTTGTGCGAGTGCACATGGAACACACAGAAGGAGGCTTGGTAGACCCCACAAAGTATATATATTCTTGATCAGCATGACAAGCCGAGTCGATATAGCCATGTCCGTCTGTCCGTCTGTCTGTCTTTATGAACGCAAAGTATAAGAGCTAGAATAACCAAACTTGGTATACAGATTCTCCTGAGACCGAAAAAGGACGAGTTTGTTCATTTTTTCTAAACCACCCCCCCCCCCCCCCCACTCCGCCCCTATTACCGATTTTCTATAACTCCCGTAATTCTTGGAATTTTGAACTAAAATTCATTCATTCATTTCATTATGATAGAATGATCGGAAAGAAAGTTATAGCCATATAACCAGGTCCAATGTACACATACATACATATGTACAAGTACACAAACACGCATAAGGCACGATTCTGATGTAAATGTAAATGTATGTATGCATGCATGGAATATTTTATATTTAATTAGTTAATATTTAATTTAGTTAATTAATTAAATTTAATTAATTTAATTACTTTTTTGTGGGGTGGTACAGGGTATTTAAGAGTTGAGCCTGATCGACTTTAGCATTCCTTTCTTGTTGTAATCTACGTTATCAAATGAGTCTGTACTTATTTTCCTTAATTAAAAACATCTGCACCTGTATCAACCAACAATGTGTTAAATTTTTGTGTTCCCTCATTTTTTTAATGAAATATAAAGGTTGAAGTTAAGGTTTATAGAGTGAACCGTTTGTTTTACTGTTTTTTCTATTAAGTGTTTTTATTGGTTTTCCGACGTGGTTTGTACCAGCACGACATTATTATTTTGTCTATTATTGTTGGCATTATTTAAGCCACTATAACTATTGCCGTTATTGGCTCTACCACTATTGTTTCCTCTGCAATTTCCACGGCCTCTAATATAGTAATTGTTATTCTGATAACCGTAATTTCGGTTTGGGTTATACCCACGGGATCTTCCTCCGCTACGATAATTACCGTGTTGGAATTATCCCCTTTGGGTATAAAGTATAGCACTTGAACCGCCTGTTATTTCAGTACTACATTGTATGTACTTGGTGACGGCTTCGTTCATTGTTGTGAAATTTCCCGCTTCCAAGATGGTCTTACGTCGACCATGCTCACATGCTGAAATTATCAGCATGTTCGGCTGTTAGACCTTCGTCGATATATGAAGCTTCAAGCTTCAGCTTTCGCAAATGATCGATTCCGAGGTTTTCTTTTCTGCCGTTTTGCCCTTTGACATGTCTTTGCCATCTTGGCTTTTACTACGTCGGATGTCTCACCAACAATAGAGTCTTGTAATTTTTGTGTTATTGCTGTTATTGTGCTTTCATTCTGGACTTTATAGAGTGTTGCTCCTACTATTTTTGACTTGACTACTTGAACCGCTAACTCTTCATGTGGTCCTTTGGTCAGATCGACCAATTTTAGTGCAGTGACAAATCTTTGTATGTTAATTCTCTGTCCATTGATTTCCGGGATGTCGCTCGATATATCTTTTATACATGCCCTTTGGGCAATTGTTTCATCTGTCATGATGATTGTTTTTGTTTCAACAATACTTGAGTATGAATCTGCCTTCGACCAATTTTCTTCTACCGTTTCTGGTAATGTTATTACCGCTAATCGTTGTTGATTAGTTTTTTTTTTCGTAGTGACCTTTTGCTTAGAGTTCTTTTTCTGAGGCATTTATTGTGCAACTTGTACAACTTGAAAAATAGATTTTCGCTCATTAACACGATTATTATCAACAGTATTGTTATTGTTTCTACATCTACTTTTTGTGACTCTACTTTATTGATTATTCCTGCAATGTTATTCACTGTCTTTGTATCTATTAAACCTATTTTGGATATACTACAAGTATTTAAATCCGGTTCAATTTGTCACGTATGTATGGGTTATCTCTATCGGTTAGGCCTGTCTTACTTATGCTATTGCTATTCATTAATATGAAATGAAAAGAAAAACAATAACAAAAATAAAAAATTTATGTATAATATCAATAGATTAAAAAGAGACAAATTATAAACATATAACTACATTTTTATAATTAGACAGAATAAGATTAGTATATAAATCATTTAGAAAATAACTTCATTATACAAGTATTACGTTATTTTCCAAAAGGAGGGAGATGTAGTTGCGCACATGAGGAGTACACACTGTACGCAGTGCACTCTTGAGAACACACACTGTAACACTTTGTTGCAGTGATTACATAAACTCCAGGGCTAAGCATATTTCAGACGCGACATAATATGATCGCACTAATATTCATTGCGCGAATGTTTATCATAACTGGACGGCGCAATTAATGTCAGCCCCGTCAAGTGTGCATAGCATGCTCTCTCGCGCTCTCGCTGCCAACTTCGCTGAGTATATAAGCTTGTATATAATGCGGCCGCTCCGCTGCCGGCGTTTCTGGCAGCGCAGCTACGCGGCCCTAGCTAAGCTGACTCTAAGTAAAAATGTAACAGTTCAGTATGAATAAAGAATATAAACTGGACGCATGTGTTTAAACAAAACTTCGTTATACTAGTTCCTGTTCTGTTTATGTAGCTTTCGAAATTTGCAGTATTGACAACATTCTGAAGTCGAGTCGATATTGCTATGTACTTATGTATGTCCGTCTGTCCGTCCGCCCGTTCGTCCGACCGTCTGTCTGTGTGAGCGCAACGATCTCAGCAAGTACAATAGCTAGGATAACCAAACTTGGCATTCAGGTTCCCCTAAGCCCTAGGCAGACCGAGTTTGTGTTTTTTTTTCTGATACACCCCCCACTCCCCCACAAGTCGTGCTTTTCATAACTCCCGTAATTCTTGGAATTTTGAACCAAAATTTGGCATATATGTACATATGTATGAATTTACATCCAGTTTGTGGTTATTTATCCGTATGCCATAAATAAATTCGCAGCCCATTCTCTGCTTGCAGCGCTGCCCGCAGCTGTTGTTGTTGCTGCTTTGGTTCAATTTTGTGCTGCATAGATATACGCATATAAACACGCAGAGACACGATTCTGATGTAAATCTATGCTGTTGAAACTGTACATGAACCTGTGTCCACTATCGTATATACAAGTATGTATGAAATATTTGTATTTAAATTTTTTTTCGTTTTTTCCGTTTTGGTGGGAGTACAGGGTATTTAAGAGATGAGCTCGCTCGACTTTAGCATTTCTTTCTTGTTTAAATTATGTATTTATAAATTAAAGATAGTGTGATGCAGTTGCCAGTTTATTTTGTCATGGATAACCGAGTTATGGATTTTATTTACAGCAAAATGAAATGAAAATCTGGTTATGATCCACTGATCAGTTGTACTTACTTTATTAAAATTGCTTGTTGCTCTTCTCGGCATCATGTCTTTATTACTATAAAAATGTTATCTTGAAATAGATATTGCCCATTTACATTTCCCATATGTATAACAAAAAGCAGCGACTAGTTCCAAAGACAATAATATGTAATTTAATGGAAACTTAAATTAAAATCTTATAAGTATTAAGTACACATAAAAGGTCACTTTCGTAATTTTATTTCCAGTTTACATTGTTTGCTTGACTACCTACGACCTATTTATGTATTTACGTCGCTTCTTTGGGCGATCAAGTACTAACATTAAATATTTAGAGCTTATTATGCATAAAGATCGCGAAACTGGAGCAACATCATATACATACTATACATATTTCTGATATTCCTTTATGGACATCGTTCATGTTGATCTTAACATTATTCTTATTGTGAGAAAATCAACTACCAATCCAATTGACAAATGTTAGTGTAGATGCAGCTGCTGTATTAGATGATGTTAACACTGCTTCCATCAGTTGCACTGAATCTGTTCTTAGGTTGTGGTATACATTGGTGTTACACTGTTGGTGCCCTGATCTCCAAATAAATTGAGGCGTGTCATGTTAGTTCCATGAGCAACGGGGTATACGAGATACTCTATACCACGAAAATCTGCTGTTTGAGAACTTTATTCTGCTCTGCTGTCGGCCATGTCTCTGGTTGTTACCTTCTCAATGTTGCGTTTTAGACGAACGAACTACCAAATAGTGGCCTGTCACTTGCCCAATAATATAGGAACTGATTTTGGTCCAACTACTTATTAACTTCTGCAGCCATATGCGTTCGATTTTTGGTTATCATACCTGTCACCCAACGACTTGGTAGTATTTTCTGTTCGAATCGTAGTGATAGTGATGAGTGTTACTTCGGATTGCGATTGAGGTGTGGGAACTAAGTCCATGCTTTGTGATCGCAGCATCTGACAGATTTTAATATTGTTTATGTATAGTCCTTATGTACATACGTACAGTACGTACAGTGTTGCTCAGTTAGAATGGGCTTGCTAACAATTCCCAATTGATCGCGCATTGGTTTTAAAAATATAACAAATTGTGTAATTACGAGTAAAGTATAATTATTATATGTATGTGTTTTTTAGACTATATTATGCAAATAGAATGTTTTAAAACGAGAGTTAAAACAAATATGCAATTAATTTTCCTTTTATATGCAAATTTATCAATATAAAATAAAAACAAAATAAAATAACTGATGTATTGTAACATAAGCTGAATGCAAATGATTAACACTCCCATATAGTCTTCATCAATTTACAATTATAGTTTTTGGTAGAAAAATTGGAGAGATAGGTACACATAAAACAAATTCATGTGGGTTTCTGCTTTTGAGTTCTGAAATATTCAAAAATCAGAAAATGAAAGTTTACATTAAGAAATAAACGGAAACATTTATTGTAATTTACTTATGTAAGTAGTTCGAATATTTAGGGTGACATGCAATATAAAAACTTCTCAAACCAAAAACGGCAGTGTTTTTTTGTAAGTGGTAATGCAAGTTATCAATTTTTTGTTGTAGATATGTATGTTGGTAATGCTAGCCACACTAAGGTACAAAAATTCTCAAGCCCGTTTTTACAACTTGCGTGGCGTCGGCGGCTGGAGCTCGATATCGCCAATCGTTCACCAAATTGCTTGATATTTGAGCAACAAAACTACTATATAGTTATAGTTCTGACACATGCACCACCAAAAAGAGTAGACGACGAACGCTATGATAGGAGCTATTGAGATTACTAAATCAAATTTCACGAACAGGGCGTGTAATGCGTACATATGTATGTATTTATGTATGTATATATCGCACACACACCCACTCTGAAACAGCTTGCAGAAAGTTGCAGAGCACTCGTACTTTGAAATCCATCGTCACAAGTCGTGCAATTGAACGATGCTGCGCTCTGGTACGATGCTGCTTTATGCCCGTTTGTTGGTGCTTGTTTTAGCGAATTATGAATGTATGTATGTATGCATCGTACATGTATGTATGTATGTATAATAAAGATGGTATGACGTTTGAGGTGTCCGTTATTCTTTCTGTGTGACGTCAGACAATTCGCATTTTCTCAGGCATTATGTTGAATAGTGACTTTTTAGTGTTGACACGCATTGTCTCGTGAAATGATTACTAAATTAAGCTCTTCAAGTGCACCTATGGAAATAATAGATTTTAGCGCAGCATATTGGTAGCAGCCTTAAGAGTCAGCCATGATGCACGCGTGCCGTGCGTCCTTATGAACAGGAGAGCACACAAATCAAACGTCTCTCACTTTTATTTACATATGTACATATGTATGTATGTATGTACGTTCGTGTGCGTACGAGTAAGTGACGAAGATGCAGCTTTTAATACCATACGGTTTTTATTGGACCATGAAATTTAAATATATTATGTAGGTAGGGCCTCTGCACCGTTAAGGTGGTAATATCAACTCGTGTACTAGGAAATATGTAATCGATTGCAGAACCGATTGGCGCTTTTCTTACCCCAATTATCTAATTTTCTATTCCATTCCAGGAAGTCCGTATAGCTAATGTCCGTTTACACACCTTTCTTACTGAAAGAAGTTGGTTGTTTGGCGAAGCCAAATATATTTCTTATTTGAGTTAAAATACTTGTATGTATATCGAACATTTTGCTCGACATATTCCAATATTATTTTTAAAAGTAAGTACATTCATACTTATAATACTCTAAATACAATTCATAATTAACAGTTATCCCCAAACAGATACTACGCTTTAATATAATTTGAGTTGATTTGAGCATATAATATGATTGTGACGTGTCAAGCGTCCCTCCCTAACATTCATGTTTTCATCAGCATTTTCGAAAATCTGTTCTGTATAGCAACACGTTTGCACCGCTTTTAACTGCTCTTGATGTCTATTGCTTTGTGACCTTCGCCTTTGAACATTGTTAATCGTTAAGTATCTTTTAAGGCATTTACAGAGTAAATACCCGAAATTGTTCTAAATAGTACATGATGATGAGTATGATGTAAATACATATGTACGTATTACAAAATATACAAAAGCAACATTCATTATTCAGTTTTTTAAGCCAATAATTCTAACGTATCCTTGCTGTATGTTGCAATGCAGAAACTAAAATTGGCAATTTAGCGGGCATAAGGAAAAAGCGGGCTAAGATCGACAGTTGTATGCTGGTGAGTAGAGTGGCGTTCCACTTGATATTCTCCCAGGAATCGGTGCATGGTTCGACGCATAATGGACGGTTCGATGTTGGGTATGCAAGCATTGATGTGTGTGCATGCGTGTGTAAAGTTATGTACAAGTACATACATACATACACAAAGGCGTAGGCAGAGGGGAGGGTGCAGGGAGGGTCCGTTGCCCCCCTAAACAAATTTCGCCATATGAAGTCGACCACACATTCATTATTATGGCGAACTATTTCGCCTTAAAATGGAACTGAGTTCGATTTCTTGTTTTTTTTCATTGATCATATGTATAAATTATTATTTTAACGCATCGCGCATTATTTTATCAAAATATTATATTTTGTGGCCCCCTTTGAAAAAAGCTGCGTACATACAATTATGTACATATTATGTAAATAAATCTGAGAAGGTGGGATAGTATTTGTAGCCCGAGCAATTGTTCTTTTAAATGTTTTGTGTACTCACTAAATAATTGAATCTGTTAAAGGCTTTGTCGTTTAATATCAAAGTTTATAATTGATTGATTTTGAAATATAATTAGTAATATATTAACCGAAAAAGAGTTGCAATCACAGCATTATAATCGGAATCATTTCTTTAATTAAAAAGAAACCATTTTGCATTGCGGCATAGAAATGGAAGTTATACCCTGCGCGACTGTTTCAATTTCCAATGGTCAAGGCAGGACGGTGCAACCGAAGTTGCAGCTGTAACACCATATAATAGGTATGTACATATAAAGTGCAAATGTGAGAGTACATGCGATATTAGATTTTTATTACCATGAACGAATAATAGTTTTATGTTTGGCTAATTAATGTCCGGCTGTCCATTCAATTTTTTGTACATTTTGAAAAGCTTCTTAAAAAGAGGTAGTTACCCGCAGACCCACGAACAGCAAGTTGTTAAGATCCATATCTACATATCTTGTCAATAGCAAACGAGCGGAACACTCTTAATTCGTTCGTATTGTATACTATATATTTGTAATTTTATGCATGTTTTGCATGTACATATGGGAAATAATGACCCATTCGTGTTTTAAAATACATGATTTATTAAGAATTCAGACTGCTAACTAAAATCGCGCGCGGTTCATCATAGGCGAAGTTTCTTTTCATATATAAGGGACTTCAAAATACATAAATTTTAACGTGGTGGGAACAAGTCCATTTGAATAGTCCCTTAAGGTGTGTGTAGAGGAATTTCATAAAAGGTTATAATTATAATACATCTGCCAATAATACTTGTATAGGAAAAGAAAATCTGAGCTTTGTTGTTGCATTCGTGCTTTTATTCGGGAGGTGGTTTGGCAGGAGTAAACCAAGCAAGCAAAAAAGTTTCAAACTTAACACTTGTCTTAAAAATACACTCAAGCTTTGTTTTAAAATTATGGTAAGAGTTCTTTTAATCTATATTATTTAAAAAAAAAAAGGGATTATCTTTGACTATCTCGTGCTATCTCAGATCGCCCTGCGAGGACATGCTGTTGCCCACCAGTCGTGTCATTATTGATGACTATTGTGGAATAGGTGTGTCCAAAAAAAGCCTAAAAACTATAAATACCAAACAAAGTCGGGAAAAAGATACAATTAACGAACGTGTACATCATCGCGCGGCTAATGCTATAGGTTAGTCACTTTAAATGGGATCTACTTATAAATAGTCCGTGGAACATATTATCTCTTCAGATTTATACATTCTACATATTATTTCCTTCATTCTTTTTTGCTTCCGTTCAAATCTGCTTATCTAGTTAACTGTCATTTTGGTAACTTTGTTGGCAGTATAGGCTTTTCTGGATAAGACAGCTTAAAGTAATCCTCATAACATAGCACAATGTCCTGTTTCACAAAGCTAATCGTTTTTTGCTAATGGGTAAGATTCTGCAACTGTATTATTCAATCAGTATACAGCGCGCAGCAACAAGATACTACTATATATGAACAACTCATGTGATCATCTATGTAATGCTCTTTTGAATAATAATAAGCCCCTCATAATTTTAGGTAGAAAACAGCTGTTGATGAGATCTACATATATTTGAGGCAGAGCTCCCAGAGCTGAATATATGGAATTTCTTCCTGTTTGACTGATCGTCATTTCCAAAAGTTCAAAGTTGGTCTAAGTTCAGCTAGTAATTAAATTTACATTATCGTTTAATATTTTGGAGTGGTTGTGGTGATACATGGGATATAAAAATTGAGTATAACATATTATAGTTTATGCATATTGTATAATGAAGCACCGACCCAAAGTAAAATAAAAAATAAAAAAGTAAAATAAATCTGAGCAGCACCGTCGTTGAGTCGCAGTACCGCACTTGTTCCAAAAACATGACGCACCTTGTGCCCCCTCTTGCCAGTCGATACTGCTGGTAGAACAAAATATATTGTGTGTGGCTAACATAACATAGGGAAGTGTGTTTTTCAATTACATTAGCTTGCAAAATAGTTACTATATGTTTTTTTTGAACGTTTGTTTTTATAAAAAGGGATGAAGTTTGATATTGTGTTTTCTAGGACAGTAAGTGCAGTCGGGGCTAAATCATGTAATTGTGTTGTATGAACAGTGCATTATTGATGTAGACCGCATGTACTTAGAGTGCGCATGTGAATTGCTTAATAAACAAACCTCTGAGTCGCTTTGCGAGGTGGAGGTAGAGGTGCGCGACCTGTGCTGGAAGGACACGTGGTATTGGAAATAACAGCCGCTGCTGGCATTGTACCTGATGTCATACCCAACATCTGTTTCTTGGCACGTGGTGGAGCTGTTACAGATCTTTCAGACGAAACAGAGGGGCTGTGGCAACTGCCGCAGTCACCGTTATCGACACAGAAGACAGTACTACGTGACATCAGATGAAGAAAAGATGAAAGTAATACAATATTAAAATGTAAATAAAATGCCTTTGCATTTTTATCAGCGAGTTGCATACGTTCATAAAATTCCAATACCGAATTTAAACAAAAAAATTTTGGATTACCGTGAACTTAGATAAAAACATTACAAAATGTCGGAAGAAGTTGCGCATAACAATTAAAGGGCAACAAAAATTATTGAAGCATTCATTCGATAGTATAAAACAGATAAAACAATTATCCCAGTTTAACCTAGTACTATGTATATATACAGTAAGCTTTGTAATGGCTTCATGATTAAAACTTTGAACTGTTGCTCTAAAGTATGATCCCAAAACGCCCCAAAGTAGAGTAGAATTTTCATGACACTTCTGCAAAGGAGGCGCACATACAGTACTCTCAAAACCACTGGGTTGAAAAACTCGGCTCTTTAAATAGAAAAGGAACATACTCGTACATATTCTGATTCTACAATCCACCTAGTTCGGTACTCATCCGACCCGACAAACAGAGATCTAGGTGTACATATTAACACAGACGGACACATAGACAGATATGCTGAATCGACTCGCCTTCTCATGCTGATCAAGAATATGTACATATATATACTTTGTGGAATCAGCCACGCCTCCTGCTTGTTACATTTTTCACATTGTACAAACCATTATGTACACTTTTGTACCTTTCAGGTACAGAGTATATAAAAACCCTTTAGCTTAACAAAGACAAAAAAGCAAAACTATATTCACGGATAACGGTAAGACTGGTTACCTAGTTGGAAAATATTTATTGGTAGTGAACACACTTTTTACAAAACGTTGGTTAGTTCTGGTTGGCAAGTTAGCAGATATGTTTTTTATTGTTTTCTTCACATACTCGTATACATACTCCATTGTACCAACACAACAAAACAGAGCATCGCAACACTAATTTACAAAACAAAAATCGAGTGCTAGAGTCGAGTGGGCTGAATTCTTCAATAGCCTGTATCGACTCCCACAAAAACCAAAAAAGTTCAATATTTTGTAAATTAACCTCATTTTAAAAAACCATGAAAGGAATGGCAGAGTCGAGCGGGCTCAACTCGTAAATACCCTGTATTCACTTACACAAAAACGAGTTTCTTTACCTACATCACAAAAGACGACTTGAGTCCAAATTTTATATTTCAAAAAATCAAGTTAGCAGATTATTTTTACTTTTTCATACATACGCTTGAGTCTGTTTTCCCCCTTTAGAGTTCAGCAAACTAGCTCTTAGCTCAGTTAGTCAGTCAAGACAAACCGTTTTAAACACCCTGTACCCGTAGGATAAAAACGGTATATTAGGTTTCTGCAAAGTATGTAGCATGCAGAACGAAGCATATTCGACCCCATAAAGTATATCAGGGGTGTCACAGAAATCTCTTCCGCCCAAGTTTCACCACAAACCCAATTCTCGGTGCTACAAAGGAGGGTCCAAATCTCGTTTGTGTTGCCAGAAGTTTTGAATAAAAACAATAACAAAGACATTTTTCCTCATAAAAAAATCATTGGGATATAAAATTATACATTTTCTGAACAATCTGCATCAAAAATATTCTGCATATCCTATGTAAATATTAATAAATTAGCAGAGTACTAAATGTACAAGTATATTTAAAACACAAGCATTCACGCACAGCATCCAAATCAACCGCACAATAGAGATGCCCCATTGGCCAAAATAGAACATTACATTTTTCGAACATCACCATTTGTTGAGTTAAGTCTAAAGTTGTGAGTCAAACGAATGTTAAAAACAAGAGAGAACGCTAAAGTCGAGCAAGCCCGACAGTGGAATACCCTGAACCCAGGTAAACTTCCAACACTGAGTTATATGCGCATCTAGCAGAAGCAAAAGAAAGAAGAAGAGCGAACTTGATGCTGCAGCTTGTGGGCGTAGTACCGGATTGAAATTGTTTCGCTATTAACTTTTTTAGAATTAACCGATTTAGATTAAATTTGAAACAAAAGTAGATTGTTATGTATAAGTTATGTGTGCAAAGTTTGGTTAAGGTAGCTTTTGGCAAAATTCTGTAGCGGGGGAAGGGGGGAAAAATTCAAAAAAATAAAATAAACTCGTCCCTTCTCGGACATAGGGAGAATTTGGATACCAACTTTGGTTATTCTAGCTTTTATAGTGTCTGAGATCCTTGGGTTCATCCAGACAGACGGACAGATGGACGAACGGACATGTCTAGATCGATTTCTCTCGACATGCTGATTCAGAATATATGTATATACTAACCTAATATACCCTTTTTACCCTACGGTTACAAGGTATAATGAAATATATATTTGACGTAATTCTTGTTTCAAATAAGTACCAAATAACTGTGTATTAATTTAACAAACATAGCGGAAATTGTGTGACGTCAAGTTGCAGGTCTGTGTGTTAGCGAAAATATGAATGGTAATAAACCGCCATTTAAAACAAGATGCAGCTACATTTTTGAAATTTCTGAACTCAATTTCAAATTCTAGTTTATTGTAGGGGAAAACATAGACACACAGGACGCAATTTTCGCTCAATTTATGGATGCACACCCCAACATTGCGCAAAATTCCAAATGTTATAAACACTGTTACAAATAAATTTAATTTTTAAAAGGCAACATAAGTGGAATTTTTTAGTGGGATCAGATGCGCTTCTCAAACATTTGCATTGTATTTTTTATAGCCTGTACCCAAAGGGTGAAGGCTATACTTGTTTTGTGCAAATGTATGTAACATACAGAAGGAAGCGTGGCAGACCCCAAAAAGTATATATATTATTGATCAGGATGACAAGCCGAGTCGATATAGCTATGTCCGTCCGTCGGTCTGTATGAACGCAAGGATCTCAGTAAGTACAAGAGCAGGAATAACCAAACTTGGTATCCAGATTCTCCGTAGTCCGAGAAAGGTCGAGTTTGTGCTTTTTTCTGATGCACCCCCCACTCCCCCGCAATTTGTGTTTTTCCATAATTCACGTAAATCCCGTATTTTTGTACTCAAGTTTGGCAAATACATCCATATAGTTATTATATGTCTGTATGTCAAGTTTCATCATGATAGGTTAATTATGAAGAAATTTATATCCATAAACATAATCTCTGCCCATGCTCTGCCGGCAGGGGTTGCTGCTTTGACTTATTTTTTTACGATTCTGATGTAAATTTATGCATGTGTTAAATATTTTATATTTAATTAAATTAATTAATTAAATTTTTTTATTATTTTCGATTTGTGGGGTGGTACAGGGTATTTAAGAGTTGAGCCCGCTCGACTTTAGCATTCCTTTCTTGTTTAACATTTAATTGGCGTTTCCTCAAATTCTTGCTGGCTAACATTAATGGAAATGGCATATTTGTTTTTTATTTAATTTAGTACGTTGCCGAATTTAAACACAATTAATCAATGAAATGTAATCGTCGACAGTCACCTGTGTCTCACAGCTGGCTTGGAAAAATGAAATCTTTCAAAGTTCTGTGGCACCGACGAATTTTTTTTTGTGATTTCTGTGGCACCCTGTATATGTATATTCTGAATCAGCATGATGAGAGCAATCGATTTAGACATATCCGCCCGTCCGGCTGTCCGTCCGTCTGTATGGATGAACGCTTGAATGTCCGAAACGGTTGAGCGCATATTAACCAAACTTGGTATGCAGACGCTCCTAATCCCTAGTCTATACGAGCTTATTTAATTTTGTTTGGTTATCCATCCTCTCTCCCCGCTACAGAATTTTACTTTTTTGAATTTCTTGAAGGAAATTTATTAGTGAATCAACTTCAATGCTGTACTATCGTCAATCCTGTCCACATTTTGAAGATTACATAAATCAAACTTGGTATGCAGACTCTCCTAATATACAGACAATAGGATTTAATTTTATATTTTGGATATCCTCCCCCCGATACAGAAATTCGTCTATCATGTCTACATTTCCAAAGCTCCATAAATTAACTTTGCACCCGTAATGTACATACATGTAATTAAGTAGGGTAGGTTCGATACATGTAATTAAGTAAGTGTGTTTAAATTTTATCCAAGTCACTCAATTTAAGGAAAAGATATAAACAACACAAATTTCCGCCCAACAAATTGTAGCACCAATTTCTTACTCTGCCAATTCAATAGTACACGCAAAGAAAATATTTTACCTTTTCATTCACACGAAAACAAATGCGTTATTTATGAATAGATCAAAATTATTATAATATATGTATATATATTATTCGGAAACGGCTAAGCGTCCATTAACCAAACTTGGTATGCAGACGCTCCTATAGTCTATACGAGTAGTATATTTTATTTTTTGGATTTTTATACCCTGTACCCGTAGGGTAAAAAGGGTATATTAGGTTTGTGCAAAGTATGTAACATACAGAAGGAAGCATCTCCGACCCCATAAAGTATATATATTCTTGATCAGCATGACGAGAGAAATCGATCTAGACATGTCCGTCCGTCTGTCCGTCCGTCTGGATGAACGCGAGGATCTCAGAAACTATAAAAGCTAGAATAACCAAAGTTGGCATCCAGATTCTCCTAGGTCCGAGAAAGGACGAGTTTATTTTATTTTTTGGAATTTTCCCCCCCTTCCCCCGCTACAGAATTTCGTCAATAGCGTCCACATTTCAAATGCTACCTAAACCAAACTTTACACACATAATTTATATATAATTGTCTACTGTTGTTCAAAATTTTATTCAATTCGGTCAATTCTAAGAAAAGTTATTAGCGAAACAAATTCTCGCAAGTACAACACCCACAAACTGCAGCAACAAGTTCGCTCTTCTTCTTCCTCTTTTTGCTGCTGCTTTGGGCGCATATAACTCAGTGACGGAAGTTTACCTGGGTACAGGGTATTACACTGTCGGGCTTGCTCGACTGTAGCGTTCTCTCTTGTTGTACATATTTTGTTTTTGTAAGCTCGGTTGCGATCGTCATTCTGCTTGTGCGTTTGGCTGGCGACACTTTTGGCATAAAAAAGGTCGCCGATCCAGCAGACAAAAACGTGAAGTAAGAAGTTCCACTTCAAAAAACTTGCACAGCACAGCATTTTTATTCCAAGGCATCTACAGTCTCTGAGATCCAGGTGTTCATACGGACTGACAGACGGACAGACAGACAGAGCTAGATGGACTCGTCTTGTCACGCTGATAAAAATATATATACTTTGTGAGGTCTGCCACGCCTCTTTCTGCCTGTTACATTTTTCAGCTCGCGCAAACCTAATTTACGCTTGTACATTTCATGTACAGAGTATAAAAACTCTTCATATGGGCGATGAACCCCAAAAACATATCGTAATCAGTGTGAAGGGGAAATTATCAGTGCAATAATATACATATACTTGTATGTGATACCACACGAAAGGAATTTTGTTTATTTTATTACTGAACAAATTTTATTTTCGAATGATCTTATTATCTTATAGGTTCACGTAGTAACACCTTCTTTCATTTATCACATTATTTCCATGAAAATGGGTGTCAAATAGTTTGATCGAATGTACTTGTATATACGAATTTTGAAACATGTCTGATTAAAAACTTGTCTTTCTTCCCCTGTAAAGGAACGCAGTTAGTTATCCGATATTTGATTTATGCTAAATACGTCTAAGTTTATATTAAGATTACCGTTTCAAATATACATTGAGTATCATTTACCTATCACATATTGATGTCGCGTGCGTGTTACTTGGCGTAGGCGAGGCCGGTAATGCATTAAACATTGGCGCCACTGACACAGCCGATGTCGTACTAAGCGCGCTGTGTGCCTGACTAATGTCATTGATAACGCTTACCCCGTCCTGTGCAGGTAGTGGATAAAGCGGGCGTGTTTTTTCTGAAGTAATTATGGCCGGTGAAGGCGCGATGCTACCTAAATAAAACTGAACTGATTGGTTGTCCGTGCCATCTTCGCTGCATGAGCTATCATCTCGCATGGCGTTGGTGTTGTTCAAAACACTGCCGACTGTCAACGTGCTGCGGTTGTAATTATCAAGGATACCTGAAAACATTGAGATTTTGAATTGAATTGGTGGTAGCAATAATATTTAACAAGATGAAGTCTAAAGCCAGGTGCCCCGACTTTGAAATACTCTGTACCCATATGTTGAATAATTATACAAGTAGATATATATAAACAAATATAAAAAATTTTATTTGTATTTTATTATAAATTGTTTAATTAAGCGAAAATTAAATTAATTCCTGCTGATATGGCAACACCATTTTCTTAGCACGCATTCAAAGTTACCTGATTGTGTGAAACACAAGTATTTGTGAATTTGACTTCAATTTTTGGTAAACTTTCGAGCTTGCAGAATTAAGAAAACGACCAACAAAAGTTAAGTTATATAATGGAAAACGTTAATCAAGGTATGTAAAATTAGAATCCAAAACTGTTTTAAAGCGATGAAGTGTGTTCGTGTAATAGTGCCATGTGTTGCTCATGTGTTTTTTAAAAATTAACCTTTTTAAGTTGCGCTGCGTTTTGTGGAATAGTACTTTTGAATGGCAGAGTTGCAAAAAGTTATAAATGTGGAAATACTAACTATTATATGTTTATTATGGAATTACTAAAGAACTTCGTCCCAATTTGCACGTTTTCTTTAAAATTGCGTTTGTTGCAGCAAAACTACTGTTTGGGCATGCAAACATTGTTGACATTTGTAGCAGCAACAAAGACTCAGAATACGCATTTAAGCAGAATATATTACAGAAAATTAACGTAAGCATCTTAGATGAATACAATACTATGTTAATATCGGTAAAAGTAAAAACCTTCTCCAATTATATTAAAAAACACATGCCAAGTTGTAATCAAACTTTAAAGCCATTAAAAAAAAAAAACACAAATTGTTCTGCTTTTAACATGATTATTGATGCTGATGGCGATTTTGAGCCGTGATAGAAAACGCTACTGATGAGCAATCCCGACAGTGAAATACCCTACAAACTTCAAGCACTGAGTTATATACGCCCATAGCGGAAGCAAAAAGAAGAAGATGAGGTAGCTTGACGCTGCAGCTTGTGGGCGTAGTACTAGAGTGAAATATTTTCGCTAATAACTTTTCCAAAAATTTACCGATTTGATTGAAATTTAAAACAAAGATAGATGATTCTATATATATTACGTGTTCAAAGTTTATGTACCTTTTGAAATGTGGACAGTATTAACGAAATTCTGTAGCCATGCATAGGGGGGAGGGGGGAAATCCAAAAAATAAAATAAACTCATATTCAATTATTTATATTTTTATAGCCTGTACCCAAAGGGTGAAAGGCTATACTAGTTTTGTGCGCATGTATGTAACACACAGAAGGAGGCGTGGCAGACCCCACAAAGTATATATATTCTTGATCAGGATGAGAAGCCGAGTGGATATAGCCTTGTCCGTCCGTCCGTCTGTCCGTCTGACCGTCTGTCCGTCTGTCTGTCCGTCTGTCCGTATGAACGCAAGGATCTCAGAAAGTATAAGAGCTAGAATAACCAAACTTGGTTTCCATATTCTTCTCAGACCGAGAAAGTACGAGTTTGAGTTTTTTTTTCGATGCACCCCCCCACTCCCCCGCAATTCATGTTTTTTCTTATAACTTCCGTAATTCTCGGAATTTTGAAATAAATTTTGGTAGGTACATCCAGTTGGTACTAATGTGTCCGTGTGCCAAATTTCATCATGATAGGTCAATTCTGAAGAAAGTTATAGCCATAAGTAAAATCGCTGCTCATGCGCTGCCTGCAGCTCTGTCGGCAGCGCTGCCCGCAGCTGTTGTTGTTGTTGCTGCTTTGGTTCAACTTTGTGCTGCATACATACACGCATATAAACACGCATAGGTACGTGATGTAAATGTATGCTGTTTAAACTGAACATAAACATGTATTCTAATTTAATTTAATTAATTAATTAATTCATTCATTTTTTTTAAATAATTTAATTTTTTTTTTAAATTTTTTTTTTTTTTTATTTTTCTTTTTTGTGGAGAGTACAGGCTATTTTACTATCGGGCTTGCTCGACTGTAGCGTTCTATCTTGTTTGAACTAAAATATATTGCATGCATGGGCCGGTTTTGGTGTGATACAGTTAAAAATACTGACGTTAGTGAAAATCGGCCATATCGATTATATGGCAGCTATATGAAATAGCGGCGCAAACTGCACCAAACTTGGTATGTCTCGAGGTATTAAAATATACGTACAAAATAAATTTTGGGTAAATATCTTAATATTCATATATTTTCTGCCAAAAAAACGGGCAAAAACACCATAGTGCAGTCGAGGAATCCCGACAGTAAAGTACCCTGTACCCAAACAAACTTCCGTCACTGAGTTATATGCGCCCATAAGAAGCAAAAAGAGGAAAAAGAAGAGTGAACTTGATGCTGCAGGTTATGGGCGTGGTACCTGCGAGAAATTGTTTCGCTAATAACTTCTCTTAGAATTAACCGATTAAGATGAAATTTGAAACAAAAGTAAATGTGCTCAAAGCTTGGTTAATGGGCGCTAAGCCGTTTCCGAAATCGAGGCGGTCATCCAAACAGACGGACGGACATGTCTAGATCGATTTCTCTCGTCATACTGATTCAGAATATATATAACTTATGGGTCGGAGATGCTTCCTTCCTTCTGCATGTTACATACTTTGCACAAACCTTATATACCCTTTTTACCCTACGGGTACAGGGTATAAAAATATTAAATAACCTTGCCTTGATATTAGAGATGTCTACATTACAAGTTTGGTCAAGGCCCAGCTGTTCCCCGAAATTCACCCAGACAGACGGAAATGGCTATATTAATTCGGCTCGTCATGATGTTAAAGAATATATATAGTCTTTGTTACATACTTTGCACAACCCCTTTTTACCCTGCGAGTACGGGGTAATGAAAAACAGGGACACATGATTCAAAATATATACTTTAAAATACGCGTTAGTTTATACTAAAAATGGGAGCTGACTATCAGCATACTTTAACAGGAAAAGTACATTTTACAAAATTTGCTTCCTGAAAACAACGGCATCAAATTGCATAACGGGTTTTGGGTGGAAATAAAGATGCTTAATTGGTAGCATCGATGAAATTACATGTTGATTTAAATGTGCCTGGCACTAAATGCTTTCGCGGCTGGTCGAAGCAAAGGAGAAGTCTGGCACTTAACGTGTGGCAACTGTCGGCTTCAAAATCTCCAAATACTTTGGCCAAGCTAAGTACAATGCAAAAACGATATCCGATCACCTACTTTGTAGCAATAATCTAGCTCACAGGATACTATGTCATCGGCTTTATAGCCAGCAGACGGTATGTTTAGTGTAGGATTGCGGGAACCATCAATCATTTCCTCTGTACCAGTCCTGCACTTGCAAGAAACCTTACTGTCCTACAAGGCATCCTACATGAGGAAATTGTAAATTGATTATTGTGGGCTTCACAAATATGTATATACGGAATTACATAAACACATATATTCTTACGTGTGTGCCTACTTCAATAAAAACAATCTAATAACAGAGGAAGTGTGATTTTAAAATACAAGCTTATCACCCCAAATAGGAAACTTGTAGAATGGTAAAGTCACGCAAACCCATCTCTTGTACTATAATCATGTACCTGCCCTCTCTCTGCCACAGTCCTTAAAAGTGTAATACGTAAATGTTGTAGCTATATGGTCCTGTTGTAGCTACATATATGGTCCTTTTTACATACTCAATCACCTTCTTAGTGTCGCCCGAGCTAGACTCTGGAAAACCCTGAAGCAGCTTCCTCTGAAACAAATCAAATAAAGGGACACAAGCGGAAAAATCTGTGAATTTGTAGCGTGTGTGAAAGAAGAAGCATTGAATTTGTTATAGTAGTAGTATTTGTAAGTTCCGGAATTTCGATTGTTAGCGTCTTCTAATCTAAGATTCACATCTTATTGGTCTATTAGTAAATAAGGGCAGCAGGCGATCTATTCACAATACATTTATACCCAAAGGTTACCCTTTGGTACATGTACCACACATAAGGAGTGGCAGACCCCACTAAGTGTACCTATTCATGATCAGCAGACCAGAGGGGTCGATATAGAAAAGTCCGCCTGTCTGTATGAACGCATGGTTTTAAGAAAGTATAAGAGCTAATGTAACAGCACTTGGTATCTATAGTACATAGATCCTCCTAAGTCCAAGAAAGGAAAAGTTAATGTTTTTTTCTGATACACCTCCCCATAAGTGTAATCTCTGCCCGCAGCTGTTGTTGTTATTGCTACTTTGGATCAGCTCTGTACTGCATTTAAAAAATATTAAACAACACTAGGGTATTAAAGACTTGAGCCAACTCGACTCAAGCGCTCCTTTCTTGTCACTGACTACCAAGGTGTCGGTGAAGGTGAACTTATATCTCCTGATAGCCCACCTCACAGTCCACAATGGCTATACCGGGTGAACGTGCAGTATGAATTGGAGGAAGCAATAAAAGATTTTAACATAATTATTTAAAATTCCTCGACGAAAGAACTTTTTAACTTCGAAAGGAAGTTGGAGCAGCTTTCATCCTCATTTGCGCAAGAATTAAAGCAAAGGTGCAGTGGGCACTCTAGTTAACTTTGTGTTCATACCCTGAGCCTAAGGGGTAGATTGGTACACTATTTGAACGCGAATATATGTAACACACAAAAGTAGTATGAAAGACCCCACAAACTACTACCTGACTCTTGGGCTTTCTTCACAGTTTCCGCATAGCATGGCAATCCTGATGTTACGGTCCTGACCGATATCATCTCCAATATCAGCAAACAAGCAACCACGTCCTCAAGACTAGGTCTTCTCATTAAACAAATCTGGACAGAACTGTATCTAACTGTCTGATTTTTGCTAAGTCTGCAGTCCGAACATAGTCCATATGAACACCAAATTTTATCCGGATTTTGCGCACTGAAAAATCAACTCGAATATCCAATACGCTAACACTGAGCTATACAGATCGCTCAAATACCGGTGCCAGTCTGCCAAATAATGAATCAGCTCTGCTTTAAAAAAACAGGGTACCAATTTTGTTTGTATCCTCAGAGGGGAATATTCTGTTCGGTAACAAATACTAAAACAAATGATTCCTTCAACAGGCCTATTTTCTGTAATCACACTTCCAATTTAGGAGTCCAGTACTTGACCTTCATAAAATAATACAAATATTTTAATCACACGTCCATATCTACAAGGACTTAAGGAACAACCCAATGAACTGGATCCTCCCATTAAATCAGAATAGACAGACAATACAAGGCATGCTTTCGATGGTTTCGTCCTGACAATTACTGCTTATTTATTGAACAAAGTTTTGATATCACAAGTTCCAAACATTAGGATCGGATAGCATTCTGCAATGCATTATATGCTGCGACAGTTCGTATCAAAAATCAAGGCTGATTAAGCTAAGCAATGTGCGGTGCGTACAATGTTGGCCATGAATGGCACGAATGAACGTTCGTTTCCCACCATTTTATCCGGTCATAAATTAAATACGATTTTATTTATATAGAGCTATTGTTATTTACATAGATTTAGGTTTTAAATCGATTGCCCACTGGTCACAGAACTCCTTTGAAAAAGTTCGTTCTCTTTTGACCGTCTTACATATATTTTACCATTTTGGCCAAGACGATAGTTTTTCGGTTCATCGCTCCCAGCAAATTTTTTCTATTTTGGCGCATTGCTTGCGGCTGAATCTTACCAATAGGGAGATTTGTTCGTGGCATCCAGCTCTAACCAAATTATGAGCGGCAGTTCGTTTCTATAATTAGAAAGGGATCAGGTTGCTTCAAACAGTCGTCGTGAACAGACGTCCAACACGAGTGCGCTCATTGTCGGTTTGTGTGTATTTCTGATAAGGCAATAGTCTCCGACCTTGGAAAATGGTGGGATTGCGGTGAATGTATTCCAAGGCTAAAAATAGCAGCCCAGACCAGATAAGCACCTGTGTCAGTGTGTGCGAACACAGCTTTTGATAAGCTTTCTAAAGCTACCGTCAGTTCCATAACTGTTAAAAGCTATCGATAAAGGCCACGTCGCAGCAAAATGCATCAAGTCGATGGACTGCTGGACTGGAAAGCCCGTTCCAAGGGCTTTCTTTGATGCATTACATGCTTTTGGAGGAAGAGCCCGATATACATACATATGACGCGATGTTGGAGAGGGTGTAAGCTGAACATTGATTTTTAGTTTCACCCAAGCGAACTATGGCCGACACCAAGCTGTGAACGCGGGCTCGGAGTCCCGGAGGCGTTTGAAGTTTGGCTCAATCTTCCTAAGTTCCTTCGTAAATGCGTGCGGTGTTGGTGCGCGGTAGCAACACAGCAGTCATGGACTTGATGCCAACGCGGAATACCCGAATGTGGTTCAGCGAGCTCTCATAGGCACTTGAACCATCATCGGGGTGAGCAGCTGGCGGACTGAACTAGGAAGCCGCTCTGGCGTGCTGAACGTGTTAGGTGAGGTCTTCACACTCGACAATCATCGGGCTAGGAGAGATAAAACCGTAACGTTCGTGAACCCCACAGCGTTTATGTCGGCCACATTCATCTGGAGAGTGGACGAAAGGGCCCTGAGTGACCACAACAGTATTTCTATTGTGGTGACACCTGGTCCGGAGAACACGGTTGATAGTTTTACTCCTGTGCCGTCCTGACAATCAGGTGACAATCAGTTGGTGTGGAGACCGGCAGCTCACCTGCCTGATGACTTCGTGGAGATGGCGTTGGATCATCAGTTGTCTGCAGTTCAGTGCAGTGCAGGGCGCAGAGAGTCGAATGCCGTAAGGGAAGTGTCGCCATCCTTAGTGTCGCCAGAATCAAGCACTTGGTGGCGATGTAATCCAGCTGCTTAGCGATGGATACTTTCCCGAAGACAGAAGCCACGTATGGTTGCTTTGCTCAAATGGCCTGATAAGGGCAAAAACGATCCTGCCTCTTATCGAGGTATCTGTTTGCTCCCAGTGTTTGGGCAAGTGCTGGAGGCGATAATGGTGAATGGTCTGAATGATGTGCTGCCGGCCGAATGCAGGTGGCAGTTTGACCCCAAACCAGGTGCCACGTCCTCAAAGCCTCCATGTGAAATGGAGCTACGAAATAAGATTATTGACTTAGGTAGATCGCTCCCGTATGCGAAAGACCTACTGATTTTCGTCGAAGGAAATTCCCGATACGGACTGAAGGAGAAAGCAGCAGAAATGCTTGGCGCATGGAAACCGGAGTCACCGTTCTCATTAGGGAGACGGTGGTCATGCTACTGAGGGGCACATTATCGCGCACCATACGGCCATATGTGCGGCTTGCAGAAGTAAATTTGCCATATGTTGACAAGTACCGGTACCTGGGCATCGGCGAGTGGTTGGATGACTGGGGACTCAGCCTAATTGGATGATCACGGGAATGTACTCCATCATATTTACCCAACGATAGGCTTCAGTTTCAGCCGGATCACCTTTGTTTTAGCTTGCACGCTGGATGAATCGGGCCGTGAATCAATGAATGCGTTTCTGCATAAGAGACACGCCAGCGTGCCCATCAGATGTCAAGAATTTGCTGCAAGTTATATGTGTATGCACATCTCGAGACCTTGGTGGACTTGGATTGCGGATGGAAAGTTTGGGACGTATCTGACGTGGTGAAGATCCCGTAGACCATAATAAGGCTGGAAGTGTTTTCCGACGCTTTTTTTGTAAGGTCTCAGAAGCACGATGAATAGCAGGCGATAACAGCGAACCCAGTAACTCCCCCGGGTGGTATCAAGGTATATGAGCCTACTAAAAGAGACATGGTTCCCCCATTACCTGGCCAGTCGAGGCTAAAGCAACGGCCCACCGATCCAAATAGCAATACAATATACAAGTTCGCAGAACTCTAGTTAAATCTGTACCGAAAGGGTAAAAGGGTATACTATATATACCTTCAGTATATGTAACATACAGAAGGAGGCGTGGCAGATCGACAAAGTATATATATATATATATATATATATATATATATATATATATATATATATATATATTAATCGGAATGATAAAAACGACTGTATATAGCGATGTCAGTCCGTCTGTATGAGCAGAATAACTTTTCTTAGAATTAACCGATTTAGATGAAATTTGAATTAGACTATTAGGTATATGTAATTATGTGTGCAGTTTGGTTAATGTAACTTTTGAAATGTGGACGGTATTGACAAAATTCTGGAGCGGGGGAAAGGGGGGAAAATTCCAAAAAATAAAATAAACTCGTCCTTTCTCGGACATAGGAGAATCTGGACACCAACTTTGGTTATTCTAGCTTTTATAGTTTCTGAGATCCTTGCGTTCATCCAGACAGACGGACAGACAGACAGACGGACGGACGGACATGTCTAGATCGATTTCTCTCGTCATGCTGATTCAGAATTTATATACTTTGTGGGGTCGGAGATGCTTCCTTCTGCATGTTACATACTTTGCACAAACCTAATATACCCTTTTTACCCTACGGGTACAGGGTATAAAAATAAGAAAAATTTCATTAAATGTATTTATATGTATCTTAGATTTAATTTTTAGAAATATGATCTTTTGTTTTTATACCCTCTACCCAAAGGGTAAATGGATATAGTAGTTTTGTGCGAATGTACGTAACACCCAGAAGGCGTGGCAGAACCCACAAAGTATATATATTCTTGATCAAGGTGACAAGCCATTTCAATGCCCGTCTGAATGAGAGCAAGGATCTTAGAATGTACAAGAGCTAGATTTATCAAACGTGGTATCCAGATTCCCCTAAGCCCTAGGCAGGTCAAGTATGTTTTATTTTTTTAAATTTCATTCCTTTCTTGTTTTGTATTCTATTGAACTTTTATTAAACGCTTTATTGAACTTTTAGTTTCGTGATCACAAGTTTTGTTTTATAGTAAAAAATATTTCTTAGAGACTTAAGCTATGTAAAAATAATCAGAGCCATTTTGTCGCTGGCGAGTTGATGTTGTATTGAGAACATATCTTCAGACTAATGGGGCTCTGGGCAACGGTGAATTAAGGACTGGTCCAGTCATCCTAGTCACTTTTACCAGCATTGTGTTTTAAACAGATGGTCTCTTGTAGACCCTTTAGTTGCTTAATTTAGGCTCAGCGTAGGAGCTTGCAGTGCTGGGTATTATTGATTATGATAACCACCTCTTTGGGCGCCTTCAACTTAACAACGTGCAGCCAAATGGCGAGCTTCTAGTTGGTAATACGGTAATTTTAGGTATTAACAACTGTTCTACATAATAGGCCTAAAAGGTCTGTAATCGTCCGTTTTATTGAAATCGTGCTTTGAGGCTATCAAGCTTAACTCAAGCTATTCTGGCTTGTACGAATTGTTGCTGTTAGCTTTAACAATATTGCATCGTTTGAGACGCTGCAAAAAGACAACTACATTACCAAATACAAGGTCTGAAATTTGATACAGCTAGCAGGTGCAAGAAGTAACATCACTAATAATATTTCTGACTTAATTATTTAAGGATTCCCAAGCATCATTTTCTGCTTAAACGAAAATGAAAATAATTTTTATGAAGCAGGCCATCCACACGCGAGCATGTTGCCCGAATTTGTTGTGCTCGACGAAATGTTCGACGTTAGCGGTTCGGGTTAAATTTGAGTGTGCGACGTTTTGTTCGCAAAGACTACAAATGTTTCTATCTTGCGGCTGTTCGTGCCAACATGTTCGACAGTTGATGGCAGTGTTGGCCGAGCATCATTTGTAAAAAATATTTGGGAAATACAGACGGAAATGTTTGCCTCGTTGATGGGCAAATGTATTTGTGCTGCCGAACAAGTTCAGGCAACATGCTCGCGTGTGGATGGCCTGCTTCATAAAAATTATTTTCATTTTTCAAGCCTACTCAACTTGCTTTTATGTTACAAAAATACTAATTGGAAATTTCTTGACCAGAAAATCGGACATCACCATATACATATCTATTGAATTCGAAGTTATACTATGTAGCAATTCAAAATTTAAAGCAGTAACTTGGCCAAATTAATGAATTGACATAAGTAGAAGCACTAACCGTATGTAATTGCAAAATTTGAGTAAACAACTTCAAGAACTTATTTATGGAAAATTACTAGTAGCGGCGGAGTGAGCGTAGACATATAAAGCATCGCGTGCAAAATTTTGAGTCTCCAGCTCTTTTATGGCCCAGAGATCTACTCTGCGAGGTATGCCATGCCTCATTCTGCCTGTTAAATTTTTATAGCCTGTACCCAAAGGGTGCAATGCTATACTAGTTTTGTGCGCATGTATGTAACACACAGAAGGAGGCGTGGCAGACCCCACAAAGTATATATATTCTTGATCAGGATGAGAAGCCGAGTGGATATAGCCTTGTCCGTCCGTCCGTCTGTCTGTCCGTATGAACGCAAGGATCTCAGAAAGTATAAGAGCTAGAATAACCAAACTTGGTTTCCATATTCTCCTAAGACCGAGAAAGTACGAGTTTGAGTTTTTTTTCCGATGCACTCCCCCACTCCCCCGCAATTCGTGTTTTTACTTATAACTTCCGTAATTCTCGTAATTTTGAAATCAATTTTGGTAGGTACATCCAGTTAGTACTAATGTGTCCGTGTCCGTAATTTTTCTTTTTTGTGGAGAGTACAGGCTATTTTACTGTCGGGCTTGCTCGACTGTAGCGTTCTATCTTGTTCATTTTGCAGAAACCTAGTATACCTTGTCCATTTCATGTAGAGTTTAAAAGTAACATTGGGATGTAGGTTTAGCCTTTTCCGAAATCAATGCGTACATTCAGACGGATTAACAGACGGACGGGTATGTCTAAATAGATCGTTTGTATATTCTTTATGGGATCGGAGAGGATTGCCAAACCTAATATGCGCTTTTTACGATTGGGTTACAGAATATAAAAACATATATAAAAAAAGATTACTGTCGAATTTCTTCGACCGTAAAATACCCTGCACCCAAAATTATTTACACCGATGTGTGCGTATAAAATAAGCAAAAGAGGTAGAATGAAAAGTGCTGATACAGCTTGAGAGCTGTACTGGTGTAAAATAATGTTGGCAATAACTTTTCTAAAGATTGGATGATGTGCATAAAATAAGTATAGAACAACTAACATATTATAAATGCAGAATTAGTTAAAGAGTTTTGGAAATATTGGCATTATTAACAACATTGTTTGTGGGGAGAAGGTGAAACCAAAAACAAACAAAAGGTAAACGCGTGAAAAACATAACGCTCCAGCTTTTCAAACATAATTGTTGTAAGGCCGATATTTGATCGATTTTAATGTAACTGTAAATATTGATGTTATATCTTTAGAATTTAAAGCGAAAACAAAACAATAAAATAAGCTCGTGCTGCCTAGAAATCAGCAGAGTCTATGAGAGAAGAACAGACAAGAAAATGCTTCTGCCCGCACCATAGATTTTGGGGCAAACCCCTTCATTCAGGGACCAATTTAATTATTTTCGACTGAAATATAGTAGGTGGGCTTAGAATTCTTCCCATTCGATTGGTAGAAAATTATTTGGTTTGTAATTTAATTTGTAGGCTCCAAACTGATCCATCAGCTGTCTCAAACCCCATAGTATATCCACAACCAATTCTTACTTGGCCGGATAACGGGGCTGTGCAACGCGTTCCTGTCCATGATGGCAAAGAGAACTGTAAGCCCAAATTTATATTTTTCAGATCCAATATATAAACAACTGTTATAAAGTTACTTTATTTGAGTTTCGTTTACTTTTAACTTAATTATTTAAAAAAATATAATAATTTAATCCGTTCCGGTTGTCTTAGATACTGCACAAAAAACTTTATTAGTGTTTTGTGTGGACTTACATAATTACACTCTCTAATACATGGATACACTTAAGCCCAATTCTACGATCCGTTTTCTTTTTACCGCCGAATACGTAACAGATTTAAAACTCTATAACTTTCGACCCAATAAACTAATATTTCATATTGTATTGTAAAGGCAAAGAAATATAGGAACAACTATTTCCCCCACTGTTTTCCAAATAATGAACTGCACTAATTGCCTTGGATCAATGCACATACAAGAACTATAAATGTGATAATCTTTTCTCAATTTCTAAAAGTGTGTGTGTTGTGATCAGTTTATGTTTTTGTTTCCAAACGAAAATGGCATTGCTGATTCCCCCCTTTTATCAACATGTAACAGATATAAATTTGTGAAATGCAATTGCAACTGTTGTTTTGTGCATTCGTTTTTTTGTTCGAACTGGCTAATATTGTAACTTTAAAGATTTAAATTATAGTAGGAATCTTTGTATTTTTTGGGAATGCTCTGCTTATGTTGCTGCTCCACGTTTGTATCTCCATTATTTTTGAACGCTATTATTCTGACTTACTGCTAAGACTATTGATTATTCATCTGTAAAAAACACATTTACTAAATACAATTTCTAAAAATTTGTCTCAGCGAAAAACGGATCGTTGAAATGAAGCGTAGCAGTTATTCAATAAAGTGTATATGTTGTTTCTATTTAATTTTTTCATATATACTTAAAGGACGTTTCTTTTTCTCCTGTACGTTATAGAATTTTAAAAATAAGTGGAATAATAACTACACGTGTTACTTATCTTCAATTTAAGCCGGCCAAAGGAAAGCGTTCATAAAATATTTCGTTTTGTTACAATACTCTGGACCGGATTTACACAATTTTCTTATTTCTCGCATCATTCAAACAGGAACAGCTTGCAGAGCATTCGATCTTGGGTAGCCAACGGACTTCTCAAACAAATCATTCGTAACACGCTCTAAATTCCATTAATTTTTTTTTCGATTTATAAAAAAAATATTGAATTTAATAAATTAACATGTGATATGCCCTTTTAGTTATATATGTACGTGGTATACACAATTATAAAAACACACTCTTGACATAAGTAAGTCACTAATGAAAATTGTAAAAGTGTTGTAGCCTAAGGCGACAAAACTGAAATGTTTTTTATCCGAATTCGTCATTCTTGGCAGCAAGAGATTTTGGTTCCTCCGAAAGACTGTTGTGGTGATGTTGAAATACAAACACTTTTGTTATTTCCAAAAAATATCGGACAACAATTACACTGATTTCCAACCACAAAAAAAAAAAACACGATACATGCAACCAAGGGCGTATGCAATTCTCAATATGAAATCGACCACTCATTCATTAGTTGGATTTGTTGTAGTTTTTCTATTGATCATATGCATAAATTATTATTTTATTAAATTTTTTTGGCGTCCACTTTGGAAAAAGCTGCTTACGCCCTTGCATGCAACAACAAAAATTACGTCTAATGAACTTTATGAACTTTGCTGAACGATCATTGCTTAGAAGTGTTGTAAGCTTTTCGGAATGTGAGCAATTATCTATTTATCTCAATATCGAGATTTCTAATACATATGTGTATATTTACATATTTATATTATCATTATGTTTTAAACTGAGTTTGAATCAAAAACTATTTTAATGCACGTGCATATATGTAAATATGTGAGCCAGCTTTAGCAATAATAAGAGAACAAAAGAACCGGAAAGGATTAAGCATAACAATCAATTAACTAAAAAAAAATAAATGTATATGTAGCTGTAGCTGTTATGGTGTTATAAGGAATAAACATAGGTGTTAATTAACTAAAAACATGATGTACATAGATAGGTAAACAACATTTAGTTTCTTAAGTCATAAAATTTTACATGTACGTTTTTGATTGATACTTTTGAATAATTAAATATGTATATATTTATAAAAATAAATGTAAGCAAGGGTTATACATACATTTTAAAAATAGAATATTGATTTACAGTAATAACAAATGCATACAAATATAAGTACATATACGTAAACAAAAAATGTATTTTAAGGACATTAAGTTTGTTTGCGAATTATAATAAGTGTAATGTGAAGCCATGTTCTCCTCACAACGCGGTATATTTATATATATGTAAATATAAATATATTATGTATTACATTTATACTTACATATATACGCATATATAATAATGTATTAACGAACAGTCACTCCGTGGCTAGCAGCGAAAAGTTCTCAAAATTCAGCTTACCTTGCACGGATTCATCATCCAAATCATCTGTGCTACTCGTCATCCGCGCTAAATGAAAAAATATGTCTGCATTCTGTTACATCGATATGTTGCTATTCCAGCTACTTACCTCTTGACCCTTTGGTTGAACTGGCACTACCTACACTCCCACCAGTTCCGCCATTGCGACCATATAATATGCTTTCCAAATATGGCAGTCCGTTGTTGTTGACAATATTAAGCCCGAGACAGGATTCGATTTGTTTCCAGCGGTGAAGACGTTCCTGCAGTTCATTGGTTACTTCTCCCAAAGCATTTCGGGCTTCGACTATGGAGCGGTCCACGTCGTCAATGCTCTTCCCATGTGTCGACACGAAAGCACCAACTAAGCTAGAACGTTTTTTACGTAATTTTTCACACGCTTCACGTGCTGATTGCAGCTGCTTTTCGGCAGAGACACGTTTTTTCTGATGGTTTTTACTTTCCAACTCATAAGTGTATTGAAGCCATGACTGTAACTGCGGTGGTGGTGCCCAGCAATTGTCCACCAGCTCAAACTCGGCACGCGAAAGCTCGTTACGCAATATCTCAATTTCTTTCTTGAGCTGCTGTACCTCCAAATCAGCGCTCGGCGTGTTTACTGATGGAGCTTCCTTTAAACGACGTTCAAGATCCATTTTTTCCGTTGCTACGTTTTCTTGCTCCATACGCGCACGTTCCAGTTCCTGCTCAAAAATTAAAATCAGCTGTTATTTCATTCCCACAGTTGCACCTTGTGGGCATACATATGCACCTTTTGCATCTCCTGCAGACTTTGCTCAGCCCGCTGAAGCCCTTCCATGTCTTGAGCCATGCGCCGCAGGTGCCGTTTGGCATTTTTGTTTTGCTGGTAAGCATACCAGCATCCAATTATTGCGCTCAGCAGTAACGTAACCAATATATAGTCCTTCCACCGTGTTCCAGTTTCTGTAAAATTAAAGGAAAACTGTAAGGTACTTTTCAGTGATTATATTTAAAGCGTTGGACGCTGCTAATGAGCTCCTTTACCGCGTGGTGGTCCAAACAAAACAACATCCATGGCTTTCAGCGAAATTTTTTGCTTGTGGATGGGGTCCTTAATGCCGAGCACATTGCTTACATAATGCAGATTATTTACGGCCAATCTATAAGGATCAAGAAAATTTGAAATTGAATTTAATGATTGCTCATCTTCTATGTATATAAAAATGGAAGTATGTATGTATGTATCTATGTATATATGTTCCGTATAGGCTCCGAAACCGCTCAACTGATGTTGATCAAATTTTTTGGCAATATTCAAAATAGTCCAATGGGTAATATTGTGAAGTTTCGCGGCGTTTCGTCAACGCAATCAATTTTCTGGCTTATTTGCTCATTATAACATATTTGAGTCACTTTCAAGTTGTAAAATCGAATTTAAAAAAAATGCAGCTGACAATGCTGATGAACGCGAATAACGTTTACAAGATATTTGCGAAAGGGCATTTACGTCTAGAGCAATAGAAACAGAACAAAAATGGGAGTTGCGGCTTCGGCAAAGAGCGAAAGGGCATCCCCATCTGATCCAAGAAACACCAACAGGAGGCGATAGACATCCTTTGTACAGACGACGAAAGGTGGACGACAGTGGGTACGAAGCGAAGGACGTATTGGGACAGATGTAACATCAGAAAGTTTAAAAAGCACTACAATTCAGTGGCGCAGCAACGCAAGCCGGAAACGCTAGTATGTTTATACTCGTACAAACATTCCATAGTGTGTAGTTATTATTGGGTTGCATGGGTACTGATCTACCTTGATCAAATCCCAGGGTTCTTAACAATCTGATTTCCTATGTAAAGGACAATTATCCCCTAGGGGCTATAAAAACAGGTATAAAATGAAGTATTTCCATTCCATTTCATTTTCAGAAAAGGTTTATGATACGACCAAGGGCCGTGATTAGTATTCCCTCTGCGCGCCATTGAGTTCTGAAGCCCCATCAGCACCGAAAAGAATATTCGCATTATTTAATTTGGCACCAATATCTATATAAACAAAACTCTTTCCAAGTCATATCCTTTGTATGTCAGCTATGCGATGAACTTGCAGGACGCGAATAATCTTGCTACGACTACAAGCACTTCTAAATTGTATAAGCCAGGCACTTGCAGACACGACTAATTAAACCTCGGCGAAAGCAGACATTAAAGTGCCGAACGGTAGCACCTAGATCGTGAAGAAGGAAGTTGGCGCATATTGCACGAGAATTCATCGTCTCATCAGTCAACCCGAACAATTTTTTTTGCCAAAAAAAAAAGAAACGAATTTTAACTCTTCTAAAGCACAAGTAGTATGATCGTGCAAAACGTTTTGCCAAAACTGAGTTCCTATTTTTAAAAAGTTCTGTTTACGTTGAGAGGTTTTTTGTTGTTTGTATTTTGAATTTAGAGTCCCTTTTTATTGTACATCTTGCTCTGTGTATATTTCTTATTAGGCACAAAGTGGACATATTGGACACAAAGTGTGCTTAGCATTTTAGTTGTGTACTCGTTGCTACAACTTGAGCTGACAGGTATTTTATCTCTTTAGAAGCTGATGATTTTGTGGTTATTGTATTTTATATTTACCTTGGTAAAGCTGCACCAGCTACTTTGTGCTGCTTGAAAAGGTCTACATATTGTGGAAGTTGAACAGACTGTGCTAACCAGTCGGTAGTTTGTTCAATTGTCCAATTATGAACTTCCGACCGCAACCAAGCTTCCCACAGTTCCTTGACCGAGATGTGCATATCATCGTTGAAATGAAAAGCCTTTTGACGTTTTTCGTAACCCGAATCATATTTTAACTCTTCACGGAGAAACTGTTGTTGAAAATATACAAGAAATGGGTAAAAATAAACGCTCCTTTCTAAACAACATTTTTGTAAGCTTACATCATCAGATTCACTTAAGTCAATGTTTCCATTATCGTCGTCATCTAATTGACGATGTAAGGTAGCAATCGCTTCCATGCCAAGACGATCCTGCACATTACCGGTATAACAGTCAAGATCTTCTGCATGACAAGCACCGTCAGCCGATCCAACACCCATAGAATCTGTAAAATTTAAAATATACATACATTAGATATATTTAATATAAATATATTTAAAATAAGGACAGAATCTATAAAGAGGTATCCATTTTTCCGCGATGACCGCCTGGATTTTGGACACGGACGGACAGACAGAGAGTCCATTTGTCGTGCACGCTCATTCTCTTATTCTATTATGACTATCTGGCCAAGAACTATAACCTAATTTAAAATGATCAAACTTAATACACCCTTTTTACCCTACGGGTACAGGGTATAAAAAGGACGATCTGACGGACTTTGATTTATCTACACAAATAAATAAACTTGAGCACAAATGTAAAAATATAACTTACTGAACTCATTACTAACTGCATGAGACATAGCTTCACTTAGTAGATTGTAGGAGCTCCTAGGCTGCGCATCAACATTCGGAGATTGGCCGCCACTGCCAGCATGCGGAGTCGTTATATGAGCCGGATGTGAAACCGCTGCGTCCTGAATTGTTGCTGAATGTTGAGAATGTGTCGGATGGTCTGATGCCACATGCAACTTAAGACTCTGCGGGGTAGCTTGTGAATGGGCGTGCAAGCTAACACCAACCGATTCCTCATTAGTGTGAGGTTCTTGTTGGTATATCTGATGTTGCTTTTGGTTAGATGCACTGTTGTGAGTGTTTTGCACCACTTGTGAAGAAGCATCATCAACTCTGTTGACAACTTGAGACGATTGCACTAGACAAATATTTTGGGCGCTGGTAGTCAGTGTAATCAATAAAACCAATGAGTAGAAACACATCATGTTTCCTAGTATTTCGTGTGTGTAGTAGACGCGATCGAAATAACAATTATAGGTGCGCCGTTACGATATGTATGTATGTGGTCAGCAGATGTAATTTTACATCAACTCTGCTTTCTTGCTTAAATATAAGCAATCATAAATTGAGGTACTGCTGTAAATAAATCAATAAATTTAAATTAATAAATATTGCAATGGTAGTCTAAAGACAGTAATAATGCCGGTTTGGCAACTAATTTCAATTCCAGGTGCGTTCTCAAAATGTATCTGAAAACGATGAAGATCAATTTATAAGACCCAGTGTTAAAACACCAGGTGGTTGTACATGAAATGTATATACGGTTTGCGCGAGCTGAATAATGTAACAGGCAGAAGGGCGTGGCAGACCCCACAAAGTAAAAGTCGAGTCGATCTATGTCTGTCTGTCCATAGGAACAGATGGATCCCAGAGACTGTAAGAGCTAGAGACACCAAATTTTGCACAAAGTTGTATTATGTGTGCACGCTGTGCAAGTTTTTGTTTTAACTTCTGTTACTTTTGTAGAAAAATTGACTTGCTTAGGACTAACTGATTAAGAATATATATACTTCATGAGGTCGCAGAACGTTTGGAACACCACCAAATGATTTGGCAGCATGTTTGTAACTTAACACGTTCCTATATAATTGTGTGCAAGATAGAGCCTCGAATTATTTATTTAAAGAAAATAAAATGTTACAAAAATAATAAATCATATAACAAAAAGGCAGTGTTATATTTCCAACCAAGAACCTCTATTGGGAGCATTTGAATATGATATGATAACCTATTAAATAAACCTAATAATAGCGGATACCTTTCAAACCATCAACCCTAAAATCATTTGATAGCGTTTTAGGCAACGATACAATGTATTCAAAACATCTTCAGTTCCCCCTGAGTTACAAAGTTTTTTTTTTTCAGAGGTGACAGCATAATCCGTACATACTGCTCACGAACAAGCAAAAGTACAATTAACGGATAGATAGAAACACATTTCTGAAAGCTTATTGATAGAGCTATTTATGAGTGCCACTACTTCATTCACTCGATCACGAGTATAGGTATTCGAGATAACGAAAGTAACTCCCGAACCAAGACAAGAGAGCAGGCTAGATAAGACAACATTCCTTATAACAACTGAAACAAAAACAGAAATACGACCTACAATACCACAGTAAGAAACGGAAACTGACACGTACATTTCAAGCGGTTAAATGAATTTAATTTCAAATTAACAGAAGATTATTGTCCAAGCCAGCAGATTGATTTTAAAAAGAAATAGGTGAAAAGGATAACAACACTACGGTATTAACTAGCACATCGCAAGAGCATTCATCGTAAATAATTTTAATGATGCACCCACAGTGGATATTAACAAGTAAAAGGAAATCTACACTGTACAATCTCTCAGAATGAGAACCATCCATATCAAAAACTTTAACAGATAGACTAAACTATTATACTCAAATGCCAGTTCTGGAATAATTGTTACCAAAGCAACAATACAATAGCAATAAATGGAAAAAATTCAAACATCAATAGCCCACTAGAAACGAAGTAATTTCAGTTTACAGAGTTTATTTTATATAGCATTGCAAATAAATTTATTATCACTTTTGAATATAGCACTGGCTATTAAAGGCCTTAAGCTATGTACATGTGTATTTTAGCTTAGAGATTAAATGTTTGGAATACTCGTAAAAGAAAGCTCCAAAAATGAAAATTATATAAAAATATGCGTTAAGAATACATTAATTTACTTAAGTACATATGTCCATTTGCCTTCTCAAGTTATCGACAGATCATTGTGTGAGTTGAGTATTGCAAACCATGTTCAGAAAGCGGAAAAAATTAGCCACTACTCTTCAAGGGAAAGTTATCATCAATTCGGCCCAATAACCCCCGGCATACTAAATGAGGTATCAAAACCTTACTGCAGCAACACACAACGTGCCTTATGGCCTTAATATTGCTGACAAAGTTCCTAAAAGGGCGCTCCTCTCGCCTCTCACACAAACTCATTTGGTATCGTCAAGCACAACTTACTTACGGCTAGATTTGAAATTAATAATTTAGTTCAAAACCAACTAGGCCAAATTTACTATTAATATTACACTTTTTCAATAAATAAATAGAAATTTAGCTTATACGCATGACAAGACGGTTCGAAATCGCGATGTCCATCTGTCCACGTATGCGTCTGCCCATGTGTCCGTCTGTTTTAATACCTACCCCTCCCACAATTTAAGAGCTACCGTGTTAAAAGCTTATACCCAGGCTTCGTTTATGTCGTAAGGCAGAGTTACGGATATACAGCTTCGGTGCATGTAGACAACTTTCTAGCTAAACGGAAAATATAATTGAAGTTGTGAGAAAAAATTAACCTGACTCAATGTTGCTAACGTCTTCAAATTTGCTTAAAGATGTAAAAACACCGATGATTGTGTTTATATTTACGTACTATACCTATCATTTTTTACAAAAGCAATTTTTTTTAACCGATTTGTTTAGTCCTGACTCACTTAGGCCGATTTTTGGCAGCACCGTCCTCCCATGGTTTTCTACGCGTCTGTACATATATTACACCTATCCATAGGCTTAGATGAATTTTGAAATATGCTCCGGCATCTTCCTTGACAATGCCGATAGGTTAGGAAGGAAATTGGCTCCTAAGAATCCTTGTCTGGTTCTTAGTAAGGCCGTACAGTCACCTAAGAGGTGGATTACGGCTTCCTCTTCTTCCTCGTACTTACAGCTACGACAAAAGTCATTGTATTGGAGCCCAAGTATGGCGGGGTGACAGCCTACCAGCCAGTGGCCACTGATGGCTCTGATTGCCGCCGAGCAACGCTAAGCCTGTAGAGCTCTGCTCTGCGTTTTACGGGCATGAAGTTCGTCAATCCACAGTCGATTTGCAACCGCTTCGGAGTGTTTCCGGACTAGAAGTTTGCAGCTGGCCATTAGTATATTTTCCTTATCCGGAATGATAGGGACAATAGTACCGTGTCTTGCCAGATCGTCGGCGCTTCAGTTTCCTTTTATATCCCTATGGCCTGGGACCCATATGAGGTAGACTGAGAACTGTGCTGAAGAGATCTGCAACATTTCTGCACTACTTTGTACATAAATGTACACAAATTTAGAAAATCATGCGAATGTCAGTCACAATTTTAGAATTGCTTAGATCGTACGTAAGCTATAGCTACTTATCCAGAACAACATCGTGAAAACATCTTCAATATGTAAGTAAACATATTTAAATGGTTTCTATGGACTAAGGATATAGTAAAGTCGTAGAAAATCGCACAGCCGAAGCAATGTCAATCAGGACTGAATCGAATCGATTGTGGCCCATCTATTGTAAAGGTTAGACAAAATCCCCTCATTGAACGTTTCATGCAACCCTATGGAAACCTGAAGCATCTCAGGCAACTAGTTTTCACGAAGCAGAGGAAACAAGTTGTTGTGACGCCAGCAGTCACACATTTCTCATTGTCAAAGGAAAGTTTAAGAGCAACTAAAACCGACAAAATATAGCCCAAAAGTACAAAGGAGAGATGACACTGAAGACCTTTTTCCGATTGGTAATATAAAAAAGGACCAGACCCTGAAATTGTTAAATTGGTAGATTTTTGGAGTCTACACACCAAAATAAGGTAATAAGGTAAGTGTAGGGCCGAGGATTTGTTTTATATCAGATCCTACAAAATACAACCGCGCTTAAAAAAAGCCACTCCGATGATATATATATTTGAGATAACAGTTCCTATAGGACCTTCTTGAAGCGACCCACGTTCTGGGACATTGGACCAGTCTCGTTCAATATGTTAGACTTAGAATTAGTGAGGTACAAGTGATGAGGGACCTTCATTATAGAAAAACAGATATACATATTTAATTCCTATTTACTTCAACTATGTCAAGCTATGCAGAATATCATCGGCCTACCTAACCAACCTTCCCTCTTATCCGTAGAAGTCATTATCATACATCATATAACAAGTTTATACCACAGATCATTGTATAAATCCTTCTCCTCTGGCATGGGAAGTCACAGAAACTTTGGAAGACTAGATTTCCAACCAGCCGTTCACACATAGCCACCTTAACCTTAATGTAATGCCCAGTCCCGCCCTTTGGCGTCCAACACTTGTGGCTCCTTAAATACTACACATATGATTTCTTCGATAGTCATGACGCGTCGTTGAGCTATAAATTTCTTAAAATTGTTTGAGAAAGACATTGAATTTTAACTGATAAAGGAGCTATTGGATATGAAAACAACTGCGATTCTGAAGATGATGATGATATCTGGATTCCGTTGCTAGACAAGTGGAATGGAACTTCGTTAGTATTTTTCTGCATGTTAGTATACCGTTGTTGAATATTTCGATCGTATTGAGGTAAATATTCAATTTAAACTGTGAATAATACATAAAGACTACAATCTAACAACAATCGGTTCCAGACAACATCAATCACATCATCTACTTTTATAACTTTTATACGTCGCATGGATTGACTGTCTATCTTTGAAAACGCGACTTAGTAAATCATCATACGATGCTCGTGGGTATTATGGAAAAGTTCGTTGGTGCCGTATTTGAGGTATAAAACATTGACGTTTTATGGCGTGTCACATAAATAGTTCACTTATTATCTACATGTGTTGGCGCTAACAAATTCTTGTCCAGGATTCATGAAGAGCTCTTCTGAAAGCCAATCGATGGGATCGATAAACAAAACTAAATATTAAGAGTGAATGGAAGAGGGAGAAACGTTTTGAAATCCATATACTGCCTACACATACTATACATATACTTATGTATATCCCATGGTAACGGTAGATCATTATTTAATTTCTATAATATAATGAATAAAAACTATTAGAATATGAATATGTATTTTATTCTGCTGATCAAATGTAGTAGTTTAATATGCTACACATAGGGGGCGTAGCGTGGCAGACCCCACAAAGGATATATATTTTTTGTGATCAGAATGACGAGTCGGTGTGAGCATACCCATCTATCTGCAACGTTATCAATAAGTACAAGAGCTAGAACAACCAAACTTGATATTCATATATTTTATATATTTGGAAGCTCGTTGATGTAAATGTTTGGCTTTCCTTTTTTCCTACACCTCTGATGTTCCTATTTTGATAAAAATAAAAGCAAAATAGGTAAGTATAGAACATAGGCAGCTTTGGAAGAAATCAGCTTTTTTCAAGTTTGAGGTAACCTTATAAAATAACATTATGTTTTACTATCAAGCCGGAATTGTTGTCCACCTGCAAGTGTATCAAAATGATAAGACATCTGAGTATTTGTTGCTTTAAGTCCAATAAGTATGTATATATTCTTGATCAGCATGACAAGAGGAGTCGATCTAGCCTTTTCCGTCTGTCCGTATGAACACAGAGACTATCAGAGCTAAAGACCAAATGCCTTATATGTGTAAGCTGTGCAAGTTTATTTTATTTATTTTACCGTTTACGTGAGTTCGACATCCGAAGAAGGTATTATCTCTCATATATTTTGTAGTTTTATTACAGTTTTGTTTATTGCTTTTTTTTTTTTAATTTGTAGCTTTTTTAAAATGTATATAATTAGATAGGTACAGAGTACAAGTATTTTAAATTCGAGGCACCCGTCTTCAGCTTTTTCACTTATTAATTATTAATAGGACCATTGTAGACTTTACCATTTTGTTATCTATTCATTTAAAGTCAAGATAAACAATGCTGTCAAATTTTCATTTTCCAAAATAAACTCGACGTGTTAACATCACACAAAAAAAATGTTCAATTGAATTAAGATTCGGGGAGCACACTGGCCAATCCACAATAGTCCTGCAACCTCCAGCAAAATGCAGACAAGCAGCAGGCTGCCTTCCAATAAACTTATGTATGCTACACTCGAGCCAAAACTATGAAATGTTTCCAAATCATCACCAAACTATTGCGAAGAAATGCGAGTTCCTTCCTTACCTCACGCCAATACTATCGAAAACCATATCGGTCTTTAAGAATATATTTGTTCGTCCGAAAAATTAACCGATCAGATACAAATTTTGGTGCCGAGTCCCAAGATGTTATTTTGAGTGTAGTAGCTGGGAAACATTTTTTAACACTCTTCTAACAATGTTTTCTGAACTCTTTAAGTTTCGCTAAAGGGTCATTGGACACATTTTGCTGTAAAAGATACATAGCTAGCTGATTATTAGATTTATAAGGTCTTTAGGGAGCAAGGGGCCGACTAGTTATATTATGTATGTATGTATAATAGGAACTATTTATTATATGTATAATTATTGTGATACAGCTGCAGATGGACAAAACTGCGAGCATTGATTTCTAGAGACGGTTCTTTTATAAGCTTGTCTCAACACTGTTTTGCTTTAAAAGCCTATGCTCTAGCTTTTACCCATGTATGTTTTTGTTATTGTCAAAACGGAACAAAAGCGCCTCATAATTTTGGTAAGCATCTTTTTTTTATTCGGTTAACTAAGTAACAGTCAAAAAGGGACACTGTCATTGCATGTAGGTCCATACCTATGTCTACATACATATGTATGTATCTTTATGATAGCAAACAACAGCTTGTTGCACCTTCCCAATTGTTATTTCTGTGAATTTATTGAGCAGCTCATTTGGTCATGCACTTGTGATGTGGCTAAGTTCCATCACGCATAGACAACTAGGGTATAACTTAAAAGCCATATCCCACGCCACTGTTTCAATTAATTTTTCATGAAAGCAAATGTATACACATATGCAAATGTTTGTATTAACGTACATATGTGTGTACCAACGTAACTTTATATTTCACCTTTTGACTTGCAACAAACATACATACATACGAACGAATGTACATGCATACATATTCGTGGAGCATAGATGAACAAAAATATTATGGTCTATCCACTACGAATATACCTACATATACATATATGTATATGGGTGCATGTAAATATTTAACAGACTTAGACTTCAATTCGTAAAAAATATTTATGAGTTTAGCGTACAAGTCGCGGCTGATACTAGCATTTTCTATTAAAATGGAATGCGGTTATAAAATTACACATCTCTGGCCTTGGTTTTGTAATTCGCTTTGCTGCATTTATATATAGTATGATAACATTCACGTAAAGATTTACCACAGTCAACTGCACATTTCTTTTAGTTTAAATAAATGTAAAAAATGAAGTACAAACTTAAAATGTGTTGGTTCGGGTATGAATTGTGTTGAATCAGTGGTGCTTTCGAATTTGTATATCGAGTATGGAATTACCGATAGGTGGGGGCTTGATACACCCAAGCTGCGAAAAATAATTCCAATATTTAAGTTTCCCTTATGTTCACAATATATAATGGATTTCGTTATTATTTGTATATGACCTCAAGGGAAACAACATTATTTATTTAATATATATTTAACAATGTATATTTCATAGCTTATGGGCGTACCCACAAACAAGTGGATGTTTCAAATCTATTTTTAATTAAATTTTAAATCAAATTGATCATAGAAACGTTTATATAGGTAAATAAGAGCCATGTTTTGTTTTAAATATTTTTTTAGTGTTTTTAGTTTATTCATACATGTTTTGTAAATACTAGAGTAACAGCAATAAAACGATAAAAAAAATATCAACGATATTGTTGTATCGATACCAACTGAACTTTTTTTAAAACTTTATTTTCGATAGGTGTGAGATTAAACATAAATGCTATATTAAAATTCTACTTATATTAGCTGCCCGTGACAAAGTGACTGTTCAAAATATCGAAAATTACACAATTTGGCGCGCATATGAATTTTGTGCTTTCTTGCTTACAACGGTGTCTGGTCTTACGGCTGCTTTTGTTTAAGTGGCAGTACTGTGCAACTGTTAAACTATTAACTAGTTTAGGAGTAATTTTGCCGTCAAAGAATGGGCCTGCATAGTTCCATAACATGTCTCCTTCAACCGAACCCTCAACTTCGTAAAACAAAGACTCGAGACATGTTGGTTACACAAAGAAGGAGACGCGGCTGACCCCACAATGTCTACATATATATTATTGATCGGTATGACAAGACAGGTTGGCCAAAACCCCATTGCTTAGCCCTCCAAGAAGGTGTCGACTGGTAATGACACTACGGTCGACGGTGTAGAGCTAAGGTCAGGTACCATGGCCAAACAACCCAAATCGTCACTAGCTGCGTTGTTTGGTAATAGTATCTGACCATCGCTAGGGATGCGGGCTGGATCGAGGTGTCATGCTACTCGTGCCGAAGATTAGCCTGGCTGGGGGCCCCCTCAAATATTCCTGCCGTTAACGGAGCATCCGGGGTACCAGGCGACCCCCGGATTATTAAGCCTAGCCTGGGTTCACGGATCTCTGTCCAGGTGGTCCATTCCCTTCTTCACCATTCGTGGGACATATTATGGGCAAATATACACTGAAAACGAAAAACTCAACCTCAACACCAAACAAGAAGGAGACCATCCCTCCCTGTAGGTCGGAATGAATGCTCTTCCCACCACAACGGCAGTCAGTACACCTACACACCGGCGAAGATGCGATCCAAGGGGAAACCAATGGAGAATCGATAGTGATCGGTAACAGCGAGCGGCGTACGGAGACTTGCATACTTTGACGTCATGCCATTGAGCCAATTGAGGCAGGACAGGCATCGGAGGAAACCCTCGCAAAATTCCGCGAGGATATGAAATGGCCAAGTCGGGTGCTGCCCAACTTTGTGCTAGACTATAAAGTCAACCAGCCAGCCAAACGACAGTGTTCGATGGAGGATGACTCAAATACAGGGCCGAAGAAGCAAAAGAACCAGGGGAAATCATGGTCAAGATCATTTGCGGAGGTGACGCAAGGTCATTAGCCAATCCAAGTGCTATTAGCACCCTCAAATGCACTAATGCAGGGTGGTTCTAGGGCAATGTGAAACTGGTTGCCTCGTTTGGCAACAGGCGAAGTAGAGATTGATCTAATACAGGAACAATGGGTAAGTAGTAATACGATCTGGGGTCTTTGCCTATCAGAATTTATCTTGTTTTATACTCACGGCACTGTTAAACCGCGGTCATGTACCTTAGAAAAGAGACAAATTAAGGCTATTTTACTCTCCCAATACAGCAATGCTAACATAAAAACAGTCAGTATTAACATCAACGCCAACGACAGAATGGGAACCACCGAGTTAAGAATAACATCGTTCTATCTCGCCCACGATCACAAAGGCACTTCACCGCCACACTGGGTACCTTCATCCGGCACTTGTGAAGAGTATTAATCATAACCAATTGGGGGTACTACCTTAGACTGCTATCCGAAAAGCTCCCCCCAGCACCGGTCTCTTAACCAAAATTCAAAAAATCGTGCCGTAATGCACTCAATAAAGCCAGTCCAAGGACTATCTTCAGGGAAGGTCGAAAGCCACCCTGGTCTCCTGAGCTTAATAAACTAAGAATTATTAGCAGAAAGGAATTAAATACAGCTTGATATGATAACACAGACCAGGTGGTCCAAATACAAAAGTAAACTCACCGTGTGTTCAGCTAAAGTTGGAAACTTGCCCGTTTGGCAAAAGCGAAGATCCAGAGTATATTTTCTCCACTTCCAGTGAAGTGAATGTTGTGTGGTTGGAAATGAAATTTACAAAAAAAAAAGCGAACTGCACAGTCTGATCTCAATTTGCTAAGTGAGTTTATTACAGCGCTTATGCTCGGTCTCATGCGCGTGTGGAACGCATTAAGAGACATCGCGAAAGAGCAACATATGTACATAAAAACTTACAGCTGTAAACACAGAGCGTAACAATAAAATATGTGCTATTCAAACAATTCATTTTTTTCTTAGATCTAAACTTGGGGGGATGAGATTGTGTATACAAGGCAAAGTGACTGATTCCATTCAACTTGGTGAACGCTAGCATGATCCGTGTCAATACTCTTTTTAAGTCGACGCACTACCTCCTCGTGGTTCCTCCTGGATTTCCACTTAACATCCGTTGGTTGGCAAACTAAAGTGCTCGGCGGGTTCCCTAGAACCGTAATCTAGGTTGTGGCGTAGGACTTGAGATCCACCCATATAAAAACCCCTATTCAATGTAGGATTCAAGATGAGCCTCGGATAGGATTCGAACCAAAGTTGACGACCATGGCAATCCTAAAAAGGACAATGATTTGAGAGTACGCACCTGGAACGTATGTACAGACCTGGTGCCGCTAAACAACTGTCGGATGGAAATGCGATGGATAGGCCAGGACTGCATAAAGAAAAACAAATGTGACATCTACTACAGATGCCATCCGCAACGGCATAAGTTTGGTTGTTACTTCGTTGTTGGCGCTCAGTTACGACGCCGTGTTTCTCACTTCCAGCCAATAAACGAGAGAATGGCAACGATCCAATTATTTCCAAATTCTTTAACATCAGCATTATCTGTGCCCACGCCCCCACTGAAGAAAAGGACGGGGGACCAAAGATGTCTTCTATGGGGTCCTAGCTCCTGACGGGCCCAGCTCATGACATTAAATCCTTCGTGGGGATTTCAATGCCAAGGTTGGGCGAGAAGGAGTCTTTGGAGCAACAGTAGGGCGATTTAGTCTCCACGAGATCACCACGAGCAATGGTCTCAGGTTAATCTTCTGCTGCCAGGTGTTGATGGCCTGCTTGCTGAGTTGTTTAAATCTGGTGGCAATGAATTCGTAAGGTCCATGCACCAACTCATCTGTGAGATATGGCTTGTGGAGAATATGCCCGAAGATTGGAGCCTTATTACGATCAGCCCTACTCTGAAGAAGGGTGATACCACCATACGTACCAACCATCGTGGTATTAGTCTTCTTCGAATCGCATATAAGAGCGTACTGTGTGAGACATTGAAACCACATGCAAAGACACTGATTGGACCTTAACAGTGCGGTTTCAAACCGGGCAAGTCCACCATTGACTAGATCTTCACACTGCGCCAAATCCTGGAAAAAACTTACGAAAGTCAGATCGACACCTACCACCTTTTTTTCGACTACAAGGCTGCCTTTGATAGCCCACTGTGAGATCGACTATATGCTGCCATGCCTGAGCTTGGCATTCCTGCAAAGCTAACTCTGCAGAATGACGTTGAGCAATACCATCAGTTCAGTTAAGGTAGGAAACGACCTCTCCGAAACCTTCACAATCAAGCGAGGTCTCAGACAAGGTGACTCGCTCTCGTGTAAGGAACGCCGGAGTCCATCGGGCGGGCACAATATTGACAAACAGATGTGTTCAGCTACTTGGATATGCCGATGATATTGACATCATCGGTCGGACCAAGCGTGATGTCAAGGAATTTATATACCATGGCTCTGCTCTTGACAACAACAATAATATCAGCCTGGAGATTAAACGGTGAATAATCTTTGCTAACAGGTGCTATTATGGGCTCAGTAGGCAATTGAACAGTAGAGCTCTCTTGGCAGACGGAAATAATTCTCTACAAGAGGCTCATCCTTCCGGTGCTCTTATAAGGTGCTGAGGCCTGGACAACTACACAATCGGATGCAGATGCTCTTGGGGAGTTCGAGATTTTTCTCCGCAATATCATCGGTCCTATTTGCGTTGGCGATACATACCGTATCAGATGGAATGAGCTGAATGGCGACACTGACGTGGTCAGACGAATGAATACGATGAGACTTCGCTGGCTACGTCATGTCGTACGTATGGAAGAAGAAGCTACAGCTCGGAATGTGTTTGATGCGTTTGTTGGAGGACAACGGAGGCGAGGAAGACCCCGAATACGTTGGAAGGACCGTAGGAAGTGACTGAATCCCTAACATCACTTAGTGTTACCAATTGGAGGAGACGCGCTCAAAGCAGAGGCGCATGGAGGCGAATTGTGCATGGGGCAGAGACCCAATAGGGTTATTTACATTCTTAATAGCTAATTGAATTTTATTTTCTTAAAACTACGAAGTGACCATACACAGTGTACAAAGCCGCTATTAGGAGAGCCAAGCGCGCTTCATGGACCAATTTCTGCAGAAGCATCGAATCCACAATCGATGCTGCTAGACTGCGAAAGGTCCTTCCGAAAACACCATCTTCACCATCACTACTGCAAAGGCAGGAAGGTAGATGGACGGATCACTGGAGCCATTTCCCGCGGTGTACCGATTGTCCCA